GGGGTGTGGGTGTGGGTGTTGGGGAAGTGTATGATGGTGATATGGCTAACCTGTGTGTATCTGTGGCAGTCGCGAGGATTTACCGGAGAAGTACCCCCCCCCCCCCCCCTCCCTTTCTTACAGTGATGTCCTTTGCAGGATGGGAATAAATATAGGGATACTGATGAAGAGAAACAGCAAGCCCTGGCCCCACCAGGACCAAGACCCCGCGAAGCCCGGGTTCCGCTGTACGTTTCCTGCCTTCCCTCCCCTTGACCCCATGCTAATACGCATAATGCAGGCCTCCAAGGCCTCATCAACCTGCACCCCAGCGGCCCGAACGACGGCGGCCTGATCGTCTGCAAAGGCGGGCACAACGTGTCGGCGGAGTTCCACGCGGCGATGGCGGCGCGCGACGAGCCGCGGATCCCGGCGTGGACGCCGGAGTGGTTCGGGTTCACGGAGGGGGGCATGGCGTGGCTGGCGGAGCGGGGGCTGCAGTGGGAGAAGGTGTGCTGCGAGCCGGGCGATCTGATCGTGTGGGACTCGCGGACGCCGCATTACAACGTGCCGCCGACGGGGGCGGTCGATCGGCTGGCGGTGTACACGTGCTATACGCCGGTGTGTGAGGCGAGCCGGGAGGATTTGGTGCGAAAGAAGGGGGCTTTCGAGCGTATGTTTCTTCCTCCCTGCGGGTTATTTGGGGGGTTTGGCTAACCCGGATGTGCCGGTAGAGCGGCTGGGGACGACGCACTGGCCGAACGCGGTGCATGTTGCGCCGACGAATGTGGCGATGCGCGATGGGGAGCGGTGTCCGGTCGCCAGGGAGCGGCCGGTGCAGGAGCCTGTGTTGAGTGAGCGGACGTACAAGTTGACGGGGATTCCGTATTTGGAGGCGATGGGTTGATTTAGTCCTGGGGAACTGGGGAACAGGGAAAGGGTGGTTGATTTTGCGGGTTTGATGTTTGTGTACTCTGGTTTAGTTTGGATTGAGTATATGATTGTATTAGTTGAATGAGTTTTTTGTTTGTACTGTATCTGGAAGTAGTAGAGGCAGAGGAGTTTCTGTTGTAATCGTCAACCGAAGGTTGGCGATTGTCGTTGACAGCTACAATTCATAAAAAGAGGGGGGTCTGGGGGGAACCCCCAGGAACGTTATAGAACCCAAGATTAAGATTGTTGTTAATCTCTATTAAAAAAAAGGACGGGAGTCTGGGGGGAACCCCCAGAAACGTCCACCCCCCTGCTATTAGAACTAGACCCCCGTGTCAGGCGAGCCACCATACAACATCCAATTCCACAGCTCATCTACGTTATACCCCGCGAACGGATAATACTGGTCCTCGAACCCTTCCACTAATGACACGCCCCCCATGAACCCCGGCGACAGCTGCTGCCCTGGTAGTCGCTCCGGGGGTCCCAGGGACACCTCCGGCCGCTCCTCGACCCCCCGAAGCCCGCTGCCCGGAGCCAGCGTCTCCGACCGTCGCAGATCGTCTTCGAGCTGATGCCAGGTGGACGGGGTGATATCCTCGAACGCTGAGGGGGTGGGGAGCGAGGTGACGGGCTTTGCGGGGCGTGGGTGCGGGTGCGGGTTGGGGGTCAAGGCGGAGTAGGGCGGGGGTTTTTGGATGGGATTTTGTAGACTGGGTCTGGTGTATGAGGGGAGATAGGATGATATTTGGTCGTACATGATGTGTAGGCCTGCTCCACGAGCGGTTAGTAGAAGAAGACAAGACAGCAGGGAAGGTGCGACAGAACAACGAGGGGAGGTGCTGGTAGAACAAGAAGGGAAGGTGCTAACAGAGAAAAAGAGGGAAAGCGCTGACAAGACAGCAATGGAAAATGCTAGCAAGACAGCAAGGGAAGGTGCGAATCGAATAACAAGGGAAGTGCTAACAAAACAACAAGGGAAGGTGTGACAAAATAACAAGGGAAGGTGCTAACAGAACAACAAGAAAAGGTGCATACCCTCAGAGAACCGCGGATCGGCGTCGTATTTCGACATCTGCACGCTCGTGTATCCGAGACACGCTTTCAGCAGCTGCCACTCATCAGCTTTGCGATCCACAGACTAACCACGACCAAATTACCTGAAGGTCCATCGCCCGCAGCTTCGAACCAGGATGTTTCATCAGGAAAATCCCCAGGACGATGCAGGCCAGAATCGACGGCCCCGCCGTGATGATCTGCGAGTCCGCCTCGCGTTCCGACAGCTCGATGCTCAACTTGGCAATCGCCCGCGCACTATTGACACAGATCGACTCCCCGTTGCGCAGACGATGCTGCGACGGCTCATCGGAGCAGTACCGCGTGACCTCCTCGTCGAACGTCGTCGTCGGGGCGATCAGCGCGGCGCGATGCAACGAGATCATCGCCTCGTGGTACTGGATGGCCAAGAAGGTGACGTGGTGGAACTCCTCGCGCGGACAGAAGATATCGTTGCCCGGCCGCAGATCGGACGGAATCTGGTTCGCCCACGCCAGCAGCTCCTGGTCGAGGCGCGCCGTGTCCAGCAGGATCTGCTGGGCCGTGCGCGTCGTGCCCGGGTGGTGGTTGTAGATGTGATGGCTGATGTTCCCCTGGGAGTCGGCGAGCTGGACGTGCCACCGCAGGAACCGGTCCTCGGGGCGGAAGTCCTCCTCGGCGGGCTGGCACGGCTCGACGGTGATGGCCATCGGCCGCCCAGACTCCAGATGCATCATCTTCTCGAGCGACCAGCAGATCAGCCACACGCGCCGGTGGATGTACTGCCGTCGCGCCGTCAGCCCGCTGAGCCGGTGCAGGCCCAGGGTATACGCCACGCGAATCGCCATGCCCAGCGTCTGCCACGCCAGCCCCTCTTTATTGCGGCCGCGGTAGGTGACCGTGAACAACAGCAGCGTCTGCACCGCGGGCAGATAGGGGATCGTGATGACGTGCGCGAGCAGCCCCGCCGCCGCGAGCAGATACCGATCCCCATCCTCCGTCTGTCCCTGCGCGAGCTCATCCGCCCCCAGGCTCATGATCAGATACGCCGTCACGAGTCGGGGGATGCGTTCATGCGGCAGATGTCGAAAGTCCGCTAACGTGGCCAGCTGCTCGACGCCCGCTTCCAGCCGCTCCACGTGGAAGATCGGATACAACGGGTGGATGCGCGAGAGGAAGGCCGTCAAGTACCGTTGTCGATTCTCTGGACTTGGCAGTTCCGGTAGCGATACACACAGCGGCAGCTCCAGTTCCTCGGCGAACCGCATTCCGTGGCGAAAGAACCCGGTGACCGGCTTCAGCCGCGCCGCTGTGAAGTATACATCCAGAGACTTGGCGAGGCATTGCGAGCTACTTGCTCCGAGCACTTTTGTGCGGTCACATCCATCCTCAACGCTGACAGTGTCGAACGGGTGGTGAACGGGGGAGACCTCATTCACGGCTGCAGCTGGTTGCTGCCCCGTGGCTAAGAAACTGTCTTCTTTGTGCAATGAGGGGGTGGCTTCATGTGAGTGCACAGCATGACTTCGACTGATCGGATCTTCCTGGTGCTGCTGTTGCAGATGGTCTCCCTTCTCGTTCATATTCCCCCCATTGCTCATCAGGGGTAAGTCCAGCCACTCTCTGAACCCCGTCACCCCCGGACGCTGCGGATCGGTCGTCACGCAGACCTGATTCCGGACGCGACAGTTGCGACATTTGGGGTATTCGGCATCACACTTGACCTTGCGTTGTCGACAGATGTTGCAGGCCATGGACAGTCGAGGCCTCTTGGAGGGGGGAGGTTTATCCATGGTGGCAGATGCTATACACACACTGAGACGGGTGGGAGAGATGCAGGGTGTGGCATGGCTTGGTGGAGTCGTTGATATGATAGTCTGTGTGTGTGAATGTGTGTAGACTCTGTAGAGTACCTATAGAGTATGCATGGGTCAAGAATGCGGGGTATGCACTGGGCAGTGGGCAGGCAGTCTGGGGGATCGTCGATTTGCCCCCGCGTAAACAGAACCTGAACTGTCACGGCAATTCCTCGCTCGCTGACTGGGCCCGAGGCATTACCCCCCTCGGGTCCAATCGGGGCAGTGGAGGTGGGGCCGAGCCGAGGTAGACAGTCGAGAGAGAGTCAGTATTAGTATATCATGGATGGCAATGAATCCATACATAAGCCTCAATGGTCGACAAGCAGCCCCCACCCAACACCCCCGATGCTCTCCAAACTAATCATCCGCACCTCCTTGACAGCAGGCATCTGTCTCCCGTTCCACCTCCCCTACACCCGGTCCAGACAGATGGATAGTACCCAGAAGAACATGGCCATGAAGCCCGAGAGGTACGCTCAGAGACTGGATCAATTCACCATCACTGGGGGGCAGTGCTAACCCCAATAAAGGCAGTATCCTGCCATCGGACCGTTCTTTCATCTCTACTGAAGCTGAAGCAAGGAAACCCTCTCAGTTCGTTGGTGTTGAGTAAAGAGGGTCTTGGATGAGCACCTATATTGAAATCGAGCTAGAGAGAGAGCCAGCGAGAGTATTACCTACCAGGCTGCAGGGGGCTCATAAGGTTGCATCAGTTGGCTACCTCAGGGCTACTGTAAGGGGTACCAAGTGTCTGGAGGATTCCATGGATTTGCGGCTAGTGCGAGGTATCGGGATTTGTCCGCGAGGTACAGTACCTACAGTGCGATACTGGGCCATTGCAGCCCCCGGGAAGAGTGGGGGCAGTCGAGCTCGGGGTCCTGAGGTGGGCTCGGAGTAGCTTTACAACTCGACCCGGCGGAGGTAACCATCCCATCGAAGAGGGGGGTTTGTTCACGTTACACTACCCTCAGGAGCAGCGGAATACAGGGCTTCGCACGGTGGTTCATGGATGCACCTGATCCCCATATTATCAAGTGGAAGCATGGAGCAACTGGATGTCTAAAGCGTTTGTCTCTGATTGCACACAAAGATAGCTATTTGAGATGTTCAAATAAACCTCACTCATCATAGTTTGCTCAGCATGAACTACATCAGGAAATGCAGCTACTACATTGCAAACCAAAGTCCGGCCCCCTACTCAACATAGAACGTCGCATTCCCCCGGATGTCCGACGAGCTGCTCCCGACCAGCACCGTGAACGCCCCCGGCTCCACGACGTACTGCATCGATCGGTTCCACAGGCCCAGATCCTCGACCTTCAGATCGATCTCCACCGTCGTGGTCTTGCCCGCGGGGATGAGCACCTTCTCGAAGCCCTTCAGAGCGCGGTTCGGCACCACCACCGACGCGATCACGTCGGACACGTACACCTGTACGACCTCGGTGCCGTCGCGGGCGGCGTCGGTGTTGGTCACGTCCACACTGACCGTCACCGTGTCCGAGGCCGTGACATTAGTCTTGCTCAGCTGGACCGTCCCATACGCAAACTCGACGTAGCTCTTGCCGTACCCGAACTCGTAGATGGCGGTGGGGTCGCCCAGGACGTACTGGGACTCGAAGTCCAGCGTGCCGTTGGGGTAGGCGTGGCCGGCGGGCCCGATGTTGCGCGCCGAGTTGAGGAAGTCGTAGTAGATGGGCAGGTCGCCGACGAAGCGCGGGAAGCTGACGGACAGCTTGCCGGAAGGGTTGTAGTCGCCGAACAGCACGTCCGCCAGCGCGTTGCCGCCTTGCTCGGAGGGGTAGAATTGCTGCACGAGCGCTGAGGTCGAGTTGGCGAGCCATGTCACGTCGGTGATGGGCTTCCCGCTGGAGAGAACCACGATCGTGGGGACGCCGGTGTCGAGAATGGCCTTGACGAGCGGGCCTTGGGCGCCGACGAGGGCGAGATTGTCGAGGTCGATGTGCTCACCGGTGCTTGTGGATCGGTTAGTGGCTGGGATCATGTGGGATAGATGTGCAACGGCAGAACTTACGTCGCGTTGAAGCCGGACCACAGCTCGGTCTGGTCGCGAGACCAGGTGCCCACGACGACGACAGCGACGTCGGACTTCTTGGCAGCCGCGATGGCTTCATCGAAGCCGGACTGGTCGTTGCTCCAGCGCTCGCAGCCTTGAGCGTAGTTGACCGTGGCCTTGTCACCGACAGCGGCTTTGATGCCGTCCAGAGGGGTCACGCCGCGGTACTGGCTCTTGTAGATGACGTAGTCTCCGTACTTTAGGAAGTTAGTCAATTTCTTTTTCTGATATAGGCTGGGCCACTCACGTTCATGAAGCCGTGGGCCATGGGTCCAATGACCGCAATACTGCCGCTTTTCTTCAAGGGAAGGGTCTTGTTATGGTTCTCCAATAGGACGATAGACTCCTTGTCCAAGGTTCTGGCAAGCTCGACCGCTTCCGAGCTGTGAATCAGCTTGTGCCACTGCGACTCAGGTGCAGCAGGGAAGGGATTCTCGAAGAGACCCATCTCGAACTTGGCGCGGAGAATACGCGAGACAGCCGTGTTAACGGTCTCGATGTCCAGCTTTCCAGCCTCGACGAGCTCGGGAATCTTTTGGAAGTTGCTGTATGGGATCAGTATCCTACCATGTCACAGCAACCAGGCAACTTACAAAGAACCGCCACCCATCTCAACGTCATTGCCAGCAGGGAGTGCCTGCAGGGTGACCGATTCCATGTCAATTGGCGAAGCCTGGCAAAGCTTGAAAGCCGTGCAGAGTCGATCGGTAGCACCAGCATCGCTAAAGACCCAGTGTTTGAAGCCCCATTCTCCTCTTAGAATCTTTGTCAAGGTGAGATAATCGGCCACAGCCGGGATGCCGTCGTAGCTTGGTACCAGTAAGTCGATGCCCTAAATCAGGAAGAGAGACATCACTCACGAGTGGTAGGCGCTCATGACACTCCATGCGCCTGCATCAATGATTGCCCGCTTGAAGGAGTGCAGCCAGCTTTAGCGCCGTTAGCATTATCTAACCCGACAGACGGGCTTACTCACGTGGTACGAAGGTATCTTTCTCCTCCCTGAACCGGCGCGGTGTTCAATCCTTGCTCGGGTGCACTGAAGCCGGCAAAATGCTTGACGGTGGCCGAAACATTGAGACTCTGCAGGCCTTTCACGTAATTGTAGCCAATCTCGCCAGCAAGGTACGGGTCCTCGGAGAACGTCTCTTCGACCTGGATGACAACATCAGCCCGTGAGTTGGAAAGAATGCCAATAACGTGGACCTACCCGGCCATAGCGCAGCTCACGGGCCAGATCAACCACGGGAGCGAACAATTGATTGACACCAAGAGTAAGAGTTTCTTGACTGATGATCTTGGCCATTTTGTAGACCAACTAATTCAATTGATTAGACTGCAGCCATCGGGGTGTTCTTGATGCACCACACTAACCTCACGGTTGAAAGAGCAACCGTATGCAATAGGCGAGTTGAAGATGGTGGCATTCTGAACCAAGAATCCATGAATACCTGCCACTGTTAGCATGTACCCTACCAGAGACGATCACATGAAGCCTTACCTTCCGTCTGAACAAGCGCCGGAATCCCAAGCGTCGTGTTGTGAACCAGGTAATCCTGCGCATGCTTGATGTTCGTCACCATCCAGTCCCACGGGACCGCATACCCAACTAAACACCAGTCAGCCCGTGGGTTCACCGCGGGATCATCCGCACAGCAAGAAAGCCCCTACCGTAGAATCCTCCAGCCTTCAGCTCCATGTTCGCAACGAGGCCGGAGTAGTTGAACGCTCCAGTCGTGGTGTTCATCCAGTTCGAGAGATCACCTATACCACTTGACACTCAGATTATCCGAGGACATGACGCAGACCACCGAGGACTAGCCCGTACCTTGCAGCAATTGCGCCGTTTTATCGTGGATCGTCATGCGACCCAGAAGATCAGTGACGCGATCATCCACCGAAGCATGCGGGTCCTTGTAGAGTGGTGTTGAGCCATTGCTTGCGGCCGTTAACCCGACGCAGAGGTGGAGGAGGGCAAGCCCCTTGGTTAGCAAACTAGCACCCATCTTGGTGAGACCGAGCGAAGGAGGCGGGCTGGATCAAGAAGCCGGCTCCCAATCTGTTCTTCACTATTCTGGTAAGAGAAAAGGAAGAGAAAAGAGAAATTCGCCAATTCTGGAGCTCGCCCTCGGACCAGTAGCGAGGAGCAAGGGTAGTGGTATTTAACCTCCTCCATCGCGCAGTCGGGGCTTAAGAAATCAATTGAAGCGAAGGCCCGACAGAACAGGGAAACCAGAGCAAACGTCACTGGAAATCCCACACGGCCGCAGAGATGAACTAGTTTAGGCTGCTCAGACAATCGGTTCGGAGATGAGAGCCAGCTGCAATGCATCACTAGCCTAGACCAGGACCGTGGAGGCGAGAATGAGAAGACGAATCAATTCCGCACACACAACGGAGCACAGCCATTCCTGATTGATGAATGGTCCGGCCCGACGAGCCAGAATAAATTGAAGATGGAGAAGTGAAATTTCCCATGGTGAAGTTCACGGCTAAATTGTCGAGTGGGGTGAGGAGGAGAAGGAATGAAGAGGTGAGGAGAGGAGGAGAGGAGGAGAGGAGGAGATGAGGGGTTGTTGACAGGATAGATTAAAGCCGGGGGAATTTGCCAGGGTCTTGCCCAGTCAATTCCGCCTATCGAGAGTCTCCCTTTGCTGCAGCTTCCCTGCACTGTTCCCTACTAGTCTTTCAATTCCACTATTTCAATTACACTAATGATATTCGAGGTTGGTCGTATGAGTTATCCTGTACATGTGGGCAGAGGCTGTTTCTTCCAATTTCACTGCATACAGTGTCATGCAGAATTGAACGCTTCACTCGCCCTCCATCTCGACTGATGAACCACAACGCTAAAGTCTATTAAAACCCCTATATAGTGCAGAGGGAATGCCGATGCTATCTGAAATTATCTTCCGCCCATATATTACTCGAAAACAAAAGTATGTACTAACAAGTGGTGTGACTCAGCCACCTGAGAAACTCTCAGCCTACTACACCTGCGTGTCAGACTCGGACCCCCGCTGGGTTTGGCTGCTCGGTGCCCCGGCACTGCCGTCACCTCCTTGGTCTTCCGACAGAGGTGGATTAGCGGACCCTCTCCTCGCACCGGGTTTGTGGAGAACGCCGCCGAGCCAGGCCAGTCCTCCGCTCCACGAATCACTCAGGCTTCGAAGTCGCGAGAGCGAGGCAATATCCTGTGGTTTGGGCGTTCCAGTACCAACTTCCGATTCGAGCCCAGGAGTGGCAGCACCAGCAGTCACAGGAGCTGTAGAGAGCTCACCCGTAGAATGAAGCCGGGTGTCCGACAATGGGAACCGGGGGTTTAGACCCACTCCAGCACTTCCATCCGAATCACGGATGGGCTCAAGTGTCTCGCCATTTCTGGTCCGAGTGTATCCATCCAACACTGTCGTACTCAGCTGCTTCTTCCGACCTATCCGTCGTCCAATCTTCCGACCCTTGTTGGGGCTAATCTCACCGCGACGAAGCGACTCAGCAACCACCGCGCTGAACCCAGATGAGATCGCGGGGAGGAAAGGGCCAGGCGAGAAGTTAGATATGGAATTGCGCAGTCTCCGTGCCGGCGGGGTCTGCGGGACAACAACGTTTCGGACATTCTGCTGAGTTCCTTCAGTGGGCGTGCCTTGCGGTTCGCCATCTTCTGCGCCAGGAGCAGGAGGGAAGCGAAGCAGGAATGGCGACTCGTGTGTGGTTGATCCCGAGTGTCCAGGAGGGGTGGATGGGCGATGGCTTGAAGCCGACGTTGATCCTCGGGACTCAGCCCACGGGTTTCTTAGAAGTGAACTGGGGTGTACAGGGGATGTGGGCTCATCTAAGCGACGTGATTCCGATTCCGCAATAAGAGAACCCGTCGGGGATGATGGCGCAGCAGACAAAGCTCCCCGAGGCGTGGGCAAATTATCATCCACATCCTCAAGGCCATGACTGATAAGTGACCCGGAGGGAGATTCCAGACTGCCATCCTGAAAATTGTGCACAGTTCGTCCCAGCTGATGTACTTTGCCTTGCGGAGCTAGATTCGGTGACAGATCGACATGATCGTGATAGCGCTCCCCCGCCAGCAGCCCGATAGCTTCTTCCTCATCATCAGCCGAGAAAGAGGACTCCGTGTCGCTACGGACTCTTCCACTAGTGATGAAGTACACTCCCAAGAAGGTCAGAAGACAACCGCCCACGAATTTGCTGGCGCGCTTCACCGTGAAAGCTTCGAAGTCGCGATACAGAATGGCGCTGCCGATAATGACTGAAAGAGTGAAAAGAACAAACTGAGTCGGGATCACCTGGGTCGAATCGAAACGCTGCAGCGCTCGGTTGATGTATCGAATCTGCATTATTGCGCTGAAGATGAGGATGAAAACGAGGAGATAAGTGACCCGGAACGTGATAACATGCCAAAAGGTGAATGTCAATAGAGAAGAGACACCTTTGGTCGACAAGGCAGTATATCCACCTACATAGACAACATCAGTAATCATGTAAAAGAACAGTATCACAATCAAGAATACTGAACATACCGTACAATGCAACCAGCCCCACGTCGATCAAGATTGTCTTCGGCCCATACTTACGACTAGCCCACATCAGCCCGACAATCAACGCAGCCGTGAGACCCAAGTAGAGCTCAAACTCCCAGCGCGTGATCATCACCCAGATATCGTGAGGCCCGATCTTCTCCTCCGAGGACGGGGCACTAATCACAACCACCACAGCGCCCGCGATGGCGATGAGAACACCCCAAGCATCGCGTTGCCGGAATTTCTCCTTCAGCATGAAGGGCGCAATGACACAGTTCGAGATCAGCGCGACCACACCCAACGGAGACACGATAGACGCGGGCGCGAACCCGTAGGCCATGAAGTTTCCCACCTCGCCTACAGACATGAGCACGATTCCGACCCACCAGTACGGCGAGCGCAGGTAGGATTTGCGGCCACTCCGGCGGTCGCCCTCGTTTTCCGGCCGGACAGTATTGTCGGACTGCATAGAATCCCCCATGTAATCATGCACGCCGTCTTCCTCCTCGTCGTCGCGATATCGCTGGCTCCGCTCGGAACGGTTCGGCGCGTCCTCAGGTACAAAGTCAGGGGATTCGTCCCGGTAACGTCCTTGGAGAGCAGCACGGCTGCGGCCTCGACCGGATTCACCATCACCCAGATCGTGGTCATGGCCTTGGTGGGTGCGTTTCCAGTCTATCTCTTTTTGTAACTTCTCCTGTTCCCATTCCCGATCGATCCGGATGTGCGCGTAGCGTTGGATGTTGAGCGCCAGCGAAATGAGCACGTTGCCAACCAGCGCAGTCACAATTCCAATCAGGGAGGACCATTCGTGCATGTCACCCGATTCCCCATCACCGTTGCCGCCATCGTACACGGGGTTCGCAGTAGGAGAAGGTAGAAGCGGGGATGAAGAAGGTGGTGAATGTTGGGCTAGAGCGGTGGGCGTTGGAATGGCGGAGGACAGGAGTGTGGTGAGCAGACCTGCTGCCAGGGGCGCCTCCCGCATAGGATCCATATGCGATGAGTCGCGGCGTAAGGGAGCCGGAAAGGGTGAGCGGGAATGTCGAAGAGAGTTTGAGGGGAGATAAGACAAAGCGGAGGTCCCGATTGACTTGGTTGCTTCGCCGAGGATCGTCAAATCCGAAGGTGTGCAGACTCACAAAAGCTTTCTGCTGTGTGGTAGTCTTAGAATGAAGATTCAATAGCTTGGTAACGCCAGGCCAGGATTTCTAGTCACTTCACCAAAGTTGTACTGGTGATTGATTTCCTGAGCCGTCGTTCATGCTCCTGAGAACCACCGCATGCTGTATTTGGGTCCCCTAAATCTTCGTCGTCGGTCAAGCGAAGTCGCCTGTTGAACGACTTAGACGCTGCAGAGAAATCAAGAGATCCACAAGAAACGAGGAGTCCAGTATTGGAGTGATGAAAGTAAAATGTCGATCGAGCGAGCGATCGGGGAGGAGGAGTTGATTTGGGTTGGGTTTGGTTTGGTTGGAAGAGAGAGTGGATGGAAAGAAGCCGAGCGAACCGACCAGGAGTCGCGCTGGTCTAAATTAAATAATTTATCCTCCCCTTAAACCCAGACAGGATAGGATAAGACAAGACATGAGCAGTCACACGTGCAGGTGCTAGCAAAGCTACTGAGAAGATCTCAAAGGTCTTCAAACCTGTGTCCAAGCACAGCAGGCATCATTATACTTCTACTTCAGGCTATAATTCGCCTTGATTCGCACCGCGATCCGAGGAATGAGGCGCCATTTTCCTTCTCTTCTCCGCTTCCTCCCTGTCGGTCCAACGTCATCAAGCATGAACTAGTTCGTCCTCGACAACAAACTCTCTGTGACTCCGGATTGACAGATCCCCAATCATCATCATCTTTACAGGGCTTTAAATAGAATGATTGCTCGCTTTTGATGAATTTCCCGTTGCACCCTCCAAACGCCATCTGTCATATGGGATATATACAAAGGTTTCAAATTATTTCGAAGACATTACAGAAGACCGACAATTAGAGCCTGTCATGCTGATTACCTCCTTGCCCGCTTTTTCTCTGGCTTCTGTTCTTCATCATCGCTGAGCTCCCGATAGATAGGCGTGGGTTGTGTTTCCTTCCACGCCTTGGTGAAAATTGGATCCTTTTCGGCCTTGTCTGCATATTTCAACAGGGCCTCCCGAGGATCTTCGTCCCGCATCGAACTGAGAGGGATGTTATCTCGAATATGCTTCTCGTCCGGTTGCGACTTGGCAAACGGAGTCGCAGCCGGCATGTACGGTCTGCGAGGGTCCTTGGGGCGTCCTGAAGCCGTCAACCCAATGGTCGGATGGCGGGCAGACCAAGTAGACGAGCTGTAGTGAGGAACTCCGTTCGAACCCACTACAACAGAGTCTCCCGAGAGACCCTGGCTGAGATCCATAGTGAGACTAGGGTCATCATCGATGTGACGGCGCTTCGGCGCCTTGGACATAACCAAGGCCGCGCCCCTAGTCGACATATTCGGGTTGTAGAGAACATGCGTCTCGGCATTGGCAGAACCGGTAAGGATCTGGTTCATCTTTTCGTGCCATAGGACAGTGATGACCGGGGATCCAGGAGTAATCGGCGTTACTAGTTCTGGCCTCAGCGTAGCAGGGTTCAAGATATGCAAGTGGCCAGTTTCGGAGCCAGTAAGCACATTCGCCGAGGAGGGTGAGAAGATGATGTTCGAAGTCGAGAAGCGGGTACTAGACGGATGGGATACAGTCGTAATCGGTTTCTTGAATTTTCTCGTGTCCCAAAGCTTGATGGTGTCGTCGCCACCTTTAGTGACTACCAGCCTGCCATCGGAGCTGATGTCGACGCCGCTCGTCCAGGTGTCCTTGGTATGAGCATCCCGAACCTCACCACTTGGACGGGTAAATGGCCCATCACCACCCCACATCATCAAGCTCCCATCAAGGGCAGCACCGATCAGAACATTAGGGCCTCCTTGTTTGGGCGAGCCCCACGCGACGGCTGTCATTTTGCTCCGACCAGCGGATCCAGCCATCTTGGACTTGTGCACAATCACTTCCTTTTGTGTCCTTCCTACATTAGCATCCCAGATGCGCACTGTGCTGTCCGTTCCAGCCGTCACACATAGATTCTCATCGGTCGGGCTCCATGCTCCGCTGGTGACCTCCGAAATATGGCCCTTGGTATTGTGTAGGTCCCTCAAATACATGTCACCCTTGACAAATTCAGTAACCGTCTCACCATCGCGATTCAGAATCCTCGGCTGCGCTGTAGCGGAGACAACCATCACATAGGTCGGGGCCAGTGGGTTGAATGCGACGTAGTGTACGGAGTGTGCTTCTTGGGCGGCCGACTGCTTCTTCGCAGACGGATCGACGGACTTGAAGGCGCGTATAGTCGACGGCGTCATCGAGGCAAAATCGTGCAACTTGATCGTGCAGTCCGTGGAGCCAGTGATCAACCGCGAACCCGCCGGGTCAACGGTCAATGTAGTCACTGCCCGGTCATGGGTCTTGAGTAGCATCTCATGGGAGACCGGAAACTCGTCCTCGTCGTCTTCAGAGTCGGAGTCGTCGGAGTCGGAATCGTCGCTTCCATTGTTACTATCAGGCCTCACCTCGCGGTCCGCCGGTTCAGGAATGGTTGGCTCTTCGGGAGTGACCTCGGTGTTCGATCGCGTCTTCTCGTCATCGCTGTCGACTTTCGCAGCTACCTCGGTGCGCTTGGTGCGATCGATCTGAGTGCTCACATCGGTTTTCTTCTCCTGCCGGCCGAAGCTAGTTGGAAAGAACTTTTTAAAGGCTTCCTCGTCGAATCCTTCCATTTTGGCTAGTTGAGAGAGTGCGTCGCAGGATAAAAAGCGCTGACTTCAGACGACATTCAGAGGACGTTCCAGCTCTTTTGACAGGTTTGTATCGTTTGTTCTGTTTGCCGTGTGCGCACGTGATGATAAGACCGGTTCTTACTGTACTGATAACAACCAGTCCATAGACTAGAGACATGACGTGACGCTTGGTCAGCATAGCTGAAACCGTTCGAGCAGAATATCAATGTAAAATGTATATGCATCTTACGTTGCATAAGCCACTATCTCCAAAAGGATACAGACTACGTATTATAGCTCAAGAGCTCATGAAGGAACTTGTGGACCAAAGATCACTTGTTAGGCTAATATAGATCTACGTACAGCATCAACGTTGCGCGTCTACAAGTACAAGCCCTCAACAGGGCCACCGTCCTGCTTAGTCTTCATGATGCGCTCCCTGGCGGCGCGGAAGTCGTCCATCTGCACTCTCATCCGGCGTTCTCTCAGAGCCATGAGACCGGCCTCGGTACAAATGGCCCGAATATCAGCACCAGAAAGATCATCCTTCTGGTTGATGAACTCATCCAAGTCGACGTCATCTCCCAGCGACATCTTGGAAGTGTGTAGGGTGAAAATCTTCTTCTTGGTGTTTTCTAGGATACAATTAGTACTCGAGCTCGGCTAGCAAGATAGGGGGGCACTCACGGTCGGGGTTCTCGAAGAGAATCTTTCGGTCAATACGTCCCGGACGGATCAGAGCGGGATCCAGAGTCTCGATCTTGTTGGTGGCCATGATCACCTTGACATCACCGCGGTCGTCGAAACCATCCAGTTGGTTAAGCAACTCCAGCATGGTACGCTGGATTTCTCGCTCACCGCCGGATGTGGAGTCGTAACGCTTCGTACCAATAGCATCGATTTCATCAATGAACACGATGGATGGGGCGTGTTCAGCCGCAACCTGGAAGATCTGTCGAACCAAGCGCGGACCATCTCCAAGATACTTCTGGATAAGCTCACTGCCAACAATACGAAGGAAAGTGGCACTGGTCTGGTTGGCGACAGCCTTGGCCAGCAGGGTCTTTCCGGTACCGGGGGCACCGTACAGGATAACACCTTTAGGCGGTTTGATACCCATCTCCTCGTACAACTCCGGGTGGAGCAGCGGAAGTTCGACGGATTCGCGGACCTCCTGAATCTGGGTCTCAAGACCACCAATATCTGCGTAAGACTCGGTCGGTGCCTTGTCGAGCTTCATCACGGAGACGAGAGGGTCGGACTCCTCAGTCAACACACCAACCACGGAGACCGACTTGTGGTGTAGAAGGATACTGGCACCCGGCTCAAGCAAGTCCTTGTCCACGAACGACATGATCGAGACGTAGTACTCGGGGCCAGTAGCGCTGGAGACAATCGCGTGATCGTCGTCGATCAGCTCTTCCAAGTTGCCGACGCCCATGGGACTGCCTCTCATATCATCAACCCGGCTTCTCTCATCTGCGTTTCTGTCCGCGAGCTCGAGGTCGCTTCGATTGGCGGTATCCAGTGCAGCCTGGGCCTTGGTCTTGCGCAGACGCTCCATGTTCTCGACGTATTCTTCTTCTAGCAGCAGGTGATCGTGAACCCGCTGCATGCGGAGGTATCGTAGTTTACATCGTGACGTCGGGAAGATGTCGGGGAGCTTGGAAGCCGTGCTGGGGCCTGCGGCCTTGCGCTTCTTGCGACCGAGGCGAGTGGTAGGGGGGGGAGGTGGTTCGTATCTGGGCTTATCCTTCTGTGGACGAATATCTTGGTAAGCTGACGTATCTTGACTCTGAGCAATAGGACAAACATACCTTCTTGTCCTTGTCATCTCTTCCATCCCCACCGGGACCTCCGCCAATGTTGGACTGCTGGTTACCCTATTTATCGGAAAGTATTAGATAAGTGACATCAAGAGGCGTCAAGAGCTGTGGGCGACAGCAAGGGTTGACAGCGTACCATAGTCCTAGAGAATTAAAGACACAGGGCGAGTATTATGTATGGAATATAACTGCCAGACTAGAGGCGGACAAAATTCGATGTAGAGGTACTGGGGGATGGGGCGCAAGCTCGGTGGATGATGGGAGGAGGATGGAAGGCGTGAAGTTGTGATGAGATGAGCAGCAGCTGGGAAGCTGTCGTCGTCGCCATCCGTGCCGGCCTTGGCGCTGCGGCCAACAACGCATCACCGCCTCACGTGCTTTGCATTAGAGCCTGAGGGCCAAGGCCACAAGCTCTAGCCAGCGTAGGCTACCTTGCCAGGCCACCAGGCCACCAGGCCACCAGGCCACCAGGCCACCAGGCCACCAGTACGAATCTGGCAATTCGTTTGATCATCATGGATCCATGATCCATGATCCATGATCATCCATTCCCCTCTTCCCTCGGCTTCCTTTTAGATACAGCAACGCGGTCGACATATCAGATTTCTTGACTCTCACTTAAACAAGAATAGACTAGCACCGTCACTATATTGGGAAGAGCTTCCCCAAATCGATTCGCAGTGCGCCATCAGGAGGTGTGTTTCCAACCAGCTTGCGAGCTTTATCGTCGGCGAGCGCTTACGCCCCACCAATACTTGCGATCCCCTCATTTTCCTCGCCAGTTCCCCGCCGATTAAGTGAGGCTGCACTGCTCTATCTTTCCTCCATCAGCGTCCATTTTTGCTTTTTCCTTTTTCCTTTTAATACCTCCGCTTCGTGTCAGCTTGCCTAGGACTTTCCTGTATAATTGTCATTACTTTATTTATACTGCTCTCAGGCTGACATAACCTGATTTTCACTTATATAGCTTGCGCTTCGTATTGCTTCCCAGCACAGAATCCTCGTTGGCCCTTCACCCCAAAAGCTAAAGCACCTTTACTGCTTGCTCCTTCGCAACTACCTCGTTTCAATTCTCAAAACGATGGCTTCAAATCGAGCACGTCGTATCGCCAAGGAGATTGCCGACATACATGCGGACACGCACTCGCAAATCACCGCGGAGCCGGTAGGGAACGACGACGATATCACACACCTCCGCGGGACCTTCCCAGGTCCGCCGGGGACTCCGTACGAAGGTGGTACATATGCAGTGGACATCAAGATCCCCACCGACTACCCGTTCCGGCCCCCTGTGATGAAGTTCCAAACCAAGGTCTGGCACCCGAATGTCAGCAGTCAAACGGTGAGTGCTGGAGTTTCCCCCTTCTAATGCTCGTGACGAGACTTGCTCATGCCTCATTTCCCTGTTCTAGGGCGCGATATGCCTGGATACCCTATCCACCGCCTGGTCGCCCGTCCTGACCATCAAATCCGCTCTCCTCTCACTGCAGTCACTACTGAGCACGCCAGAACCGAAGGACCCGCAGGACGCGGAGGTCGCGCAGATGCTGTTGCGCCATCCCAAGGAGTTCGCCCGGAAGGCCCAGGATTGGGCGGTCATATATGCGGGGGCGCCGAGAAAATACGCGGGAGAGGGCAGTGGCGGCGCGACGGATGAGACCCTGCGCGAGCTGGAGCTCAAGTCTAAGGCGGAGCAGGAGAAGGAGGATCTCGCCAAGTATGGACCACCGGCTCGAAATCTGCGCATATATCCTCGCTGACTGTTGCTGCACAGGTATGATGGCTACAACAAAGACCTGATCGACCGCTTCTGTAGCATGGGTTTCGACGTCGACCGCGTGGTAGCGGCGTTCAAATACTATGGCATCGATCGGATGGAGGGCGAGGATTATGAGCTGGAGGAGGCTTACATGGGGGACGTCACTGCACGGCTGCTGGGTGAGCCGTAAGAAAGACCTAGACAGACCACATTCACAGACAGCTTTAGCTTTTCTTTTTCTCGGGATCAAGTGTTGAGCTTTGAGGATTTGCTGTTTGATCGAGCGCTCTAATTTCTCGTTTGAGCTTTTTTTCATATATCCAGCTATTCATCCATTTGCGTTATTTAGAATCTGATGTTTTGAGTGATTAAGCCAATGAGACATGTGCATCGGCAAGAAGTTGGTGGGTTAAAGACTTGATTAAGTTGTTTGCCAATGTAAGTAAACGTGCGTAACTCCGTGGACAAAGGATTGCTGGAAGAGCAGCGCTATCGATAAGCACGTGGATCATCAACGGATCTCCTCCGTCTCCGCCCATCTCCATCTCCAACTTTCTCCGCCGCAAAACCCCTTCACCAGCACCAACTTTACAAAAGAGCGCCCACCTCACCATTGACCTGACCCTTCACTGACCGCACCATCCAACCACAAAGCCAACCCTCCCATTTTACAACCCGACTGCGCAACAGACACCCACCTCACGGCACGGCTTGCCAAGCCGCCATCAACGCAACCCAAAATGATCGAAGACGACTTCTACCGCACCTCCTCGCAATACCGCCTCTGGTCCTTCACCGCGGCCTCCCTCCAAGCCCAACGGGCGATCACCAACGCCGTGGCCAGCGACCGGGTGCGCGCCGCCATCCGCCGCGCGCAGGAGGCGCGCCGCTCCGCCACCTCGTCCGCGACGGGCACCCCGGTCCCCGAAGTTGAGGGCAGCACCAGCACCAGCACCAACCACCCCGCGAAAGCCGAAGAGAAACCCATCGAATGCCTGACGCCCGAAGAAGAGCAGCAGACAGTGAGCTACTACTGCGAGCAGATCATCCAGCTAGGAGAAGCGTACAAACCGCCATTACCGACGATAGTCCGAGTGAGCCAGCCAGCCAGCCCAACCCCCTCCCCCCCTCCCAAACCCCAAAAACTAACACCCCCGAAAAAAAAAGGCAACAGCAATCCAATACCTCCGGCGCTTCTACCTAACGAACAGCCCGATGACCTATCACCCGAAACAAATCATGCCGTGCGCGCTCTTCCTCGCCACCAAGACAGACAACTACTACATGTCGCTGCGCCAGTTCGCGGACGGGGTGCCCGGCGACACGACGGCGGAGGACATCATCGCGCCGGAGTTCGTGGTGATGCAGAGCCTGCGCTTCACGTTCGACGTGCGGCACCCGTTCCGGGGGCTGGAGGGGGGGATCATGGAGCTCCAGGCCCTGGCCGCGGGGCAGGGCCAGCCCGCACCGCACCTCGCCGCCACCACGCAGACGCAAACCCCGGAATCCCTGCAAAGGGGCCTCCTCGCCCTCCCCCTTTCGTCTTCCTCAAAAAACATCACCGACCGAATCGCCCGCGCCCACCACACCACCCGCGAGATCCTCAAATCCGCCGCCCAGATCACCGACGTGTATTTCCTCTTCACGCCGGCGCAGATCTGGCTCGCCGCGCTGATGCTGGCCGACCGCGCCTTGGCCGAGTACTACCTCGACACGAAACTCGGCACCTCAGCCCCATCATCATCCGTCCAAGAAGCGGAGGCGGCGGATGGGCTGGCGGCCCTCCGACCGAAACTCCTCCGCACGCTCAACGACTGCGCCGCCATGCTGCAGGCCTACAAGCCCCTCGCCTCGGATCCGGATCAGATGAAGACCCTCCGTCGGATCATCGGGAAGAAGCTCTATCACTGCCAGAATCCCGAGAAGGTGAATTTAGGTGGCGCTGGGCAGAAGAGGATCCCTGCGGCGGCGCTCGCTTCTTCGGCTGCGGCTGCGGCGGCTGCGGCGGCAACTCCAACAGGGGGGGTCGATTCCGGGGCGTCGGAAAGTGAGATGGAGAGGTTGGCGAAGAAGCGGAAGTTGGAGACCGCCGCGGAATCTTCCAGCGGTAGTAAGGATATTTTCGGGGGGGAGTTGGTTATGCAGAGGACGAAGGAGCGGTAAACTTAGGGTTAGTTGTATAGGATTATGAGGTGGCGGGGAGCGGATTATAGAATTGACGGTGGATGGAACCAACACAACAATGAATGGTCTGGATAGGTAGGCAACGGGAACAGATCCGATGAATTAGTTTACTACGCTCCCAAGATCAGCATTCATCTACAAGACATGAACCTGTAAACCAAATCTACAGGTGCAACTACAATCCAGAGTTCAAATAAAACAATCCATTCTCAAGGAGACACCCGTGTCCCAAAGGATGATGAACAGTCTATACGAGAATCCAATGAGAAAAGAGAAGCATCAGATTTCACCCCCTCAAACGCTCAAGTCTAAGTTAGGGGGATGAGATTGAAATGGTATGAACGACGATGATGGAAATAAACAAGGCCATCTAAGAAACACAACGTAAAGAAAGAAAAAACAAAGAACACCCAAATACTGAGCAGGTGATATCTCCAGGTGGTATTTAAGCAAAACGGGATAAACACAAATTGTATCCCCCTTAAACAAGGACCTCTCATTCAGGATGGTTCATCTCTCCTGCTGCTGAGAAAATTGATAAACTTTTTTCTCCTACTCCTTTCGGTAAAGTTTTGCCAAGTCTGCATCCTCGCGCAGACTGTTTTTCTTTCCTGTCTTGATATTTTGTTCGTTTCTGAGCATTCCATTCGTAACAGAGAGAAGCACCTCATAAAAAATGCTTCGGTCTTTTTAGACAGCACCCTGGTCGATCATCTTCTTGCGGAGGTAGTTCTTGTACTGCCCGATGGTGCCATCCCAGCGAGTGACAGTCTTGTGCTCGCAGACCATGATGTCCTTGGCGATCTTGTCGAGGAGACGGAAATCGTGGGAGACGACCACGACACCTCCGCTGTAGGCGTTGATGGCATCGGCCAAACTGTCGATGGTGGGGATATCGAGACCGTTGGTAGGCTCGTCCAGGAGAATCATGTTGGGAGACTCAATAGCCAACAGAGCGAAAACGATACGACTCTTCTGACCCTCAGACAGAGTACCCATCAGAGCAGTCTGGGACTCACCGCTCAGACCGTAGCGGCCGAGCTGCTGGCGCCAGTACTGGTAGTCCTGGGACTTCTCGGGGAACTTGTCACGGACGAACTCCAAGGAAGACTTGGTCAGGTCCAGCTGTTCAGCGGAGTGCTGGCTGTACATGCCGAGCTTCAAGTGGGTGTGACGGCTGACACTACCACCGATGGGGCTGAGCTTGCCGGTCATCAGACGGAGCAGAGTGGACTTGCCGACACCGTTGGGTCCGACCAGAGCAGTACGGGAGTCCATGTCGACACCGAAGTCAAGGTGCTCGTACAGAGTGTCATCCCAGTTGCCAGAGTAGGAGAAAGAGACATCATCGAAGGACAGGACGGGAGGGGGGAGCTTCTCGACATCAGCGAAGCGGAAGCTGAAGACACGGTCAGGAATGACGGGCTGGATGAAACCGTCGGCCTCCATCTTATCGAGGATCTTCTGACGGGACTTGGCCTGACGGACCAAGTTGGCGTAGGTACCGGCGGAGGCGATGAACTTCTTGATGTGGGCAATTTCTTCCTGCTGCTTGTGGTAGGCCTTCATCTGGTTCGTCTCCTGTTCGGCACGGGTCTTGTGGTACGAATCGTAGTTACCACCATAGTAGAGGAGCTGCTTCATGCGCATATCGATCATGTTGGTGCAGACACCGTTCAAGAAATCCATGGAGTGGGAGACCAGGATTAGGGTGCGCTCCCACTTCTTCAGGTATTCTTCCAACCACACACAGGCCTCGAGATCCAAGTGAGCAGTGGGGTCGTCCAGCAGGAGGAGAGAAGGCTTGACGAACAGGGCCTTGGCAAGGGCCACACGCATACGCCAACCACCGGACATGTCCTTAGTCTTCTTGTGGATGGTCTGCTTGTTGAAACCAAGACCCGTCAGGATCAGGGAGGCGCGGGTGTGGAAGGTCGAGGGATCCATCTTGTCCATACGCTGATGATGAAGTTAGACACATGTTGCTCGTCAAAGAGTGCACAAGTACTTACGTCGTAAAGGTCCTCGAGAATAGGGCTGTCAGGGCCCTCCTTCTCCAAGATCTCCTCGGCCTGCTTCTCCATGCGGTCGAGCTGGTTCTGAGCCTCAGTAACAACCCACTCAAGGGCACCGAGGTCGGTGGGGGGAGCACCCTCGTTGAGCAGGTAAATATCAATGTGCTCAGGGATGGGGAACTCGCGAGTGGCGATGGACTTGAGAAGGGTGGACTTTCCGCAACCGTTTTCACCCAAGAGACCGTAACGGCGACTGAAGTTCAGTTCGAGGGTGGAGTCGGTGATGAGGACCTTGCCGTGGAACACCAGGGAGGCGGAAGTGATCTTGACGTCGCGGGAGGACTCCAGGGAGGAGAGGACACCAGTGGTGACACGGTCCGAGAGACCGTGCTTGTCCATCTGTGCGGTCAGCTTCTCAACCTCCTTCAGCTTCTCAGCGGAGGTGGCAGGCTGATCCTCGACGGGCAAAGGGTTTCCGTCGCCATCGAGCATGGGGGTCTCGTCACCGGGGGTCGAGGTACCCTTCTTGGACTTGAGGGTCTTCTTCTTGCCGTCATCGCCACGCTTGGCCATACGAGCAGCTTTGGAAGCAGACACCATTTTGACGGTTGTGTGGGTGTTGTGGGAGGGGAGATGGAGGAAGAGAAAAAGAGGGGAAAAAGGTAAGAAGAGGAGGCGGGAAGAAAGAGACGAAACCAGTCCGTGAAGAGGAGGAGGGAAAGGGAAAAAAAGAACTTGACAAAGGTGGAGCACTTTCCAGCGGCGGGGTGAAAGAGAGAGCAAGAGGGAGAGAGAAATAGTAAGAGAGGGGCGACCGAAAGCCTTTTGAGTGGGGGGGGTGGGAGTGGGAATGGGAGTGGGAGGTTCCTTGGATAGCCCTTATCGATAGTAAGAGTTTCAACTATGAAGCACAGGCAATGCTTATTACTATTGCCTCAAAACACAGAAAATACAGAGAGTAAATAGAGATCGAATGGGTAGTATTCACGAGATTGAAGGAGCCTATCCTCTGAGTCAAAAGTAGGAACAGTAGGAACAATCGACCGAAGAACAATAAGAGGAGGATGAAGGATGCACTGGTCAGAGGATGAAAGACGAAACTGCGACCTCAATTTGAGTTGCCTCGAAAATTCCTTCAGTGGGTTTCTGCCCAGCGGCGCTGTCATTGGCCTGTCGACGTCACCGCACGGGTGCGTGGCGCGGCCTTGCCTGATTGGGCATTAATGATCACGTGCTCTAAAGCCTTATGCCCAAGGCATTTGCTGGCAATGGTCAGCAACCGCCGCTGACGCCTGAGGCCGAAATCAGATCAGTGTGCTACCTTGATTAGGAAGGAAGAGCATCCGGCCCCGGGGACGGCAGCGCCCTACTAACTCCTTATCATTAAAGCAAGTTCAGCAGAATCACACCTCCGTCTGAATGCCATCCTATGTTCGCAACCACATTGCCACTATGAGTACTATGTATCCTCTTGTACTTAGCTTGGTAATCAGAGAATTCCTGTTGGACAATCCCTCAATCACGATAAGCAGCTTACTTCCCCTTCGAAAGACAATGATATGGACAATGACATGAACTTCACTATATACAGTACATACAGACAGCGGAATGTCTCTATGCTAAGCCACCTATTTCTAATGCTAGTAGATGCACTTCATGGTAACCGTTCACTGATACTCCGCAGGACCTTCATTTCCGCTTCCGAAATCGAGAATTGATTTGGCAAGAGGATCTTGCCCGACTCAATGAGGACCTGCCTCGGTTCACCGGGGAAGACATCTTGCGTGCCGTCCGTCTCAAAGCTGGCTCGGTTGATCCGATCCCCGCTTTCGGTGTCACTCGATTTCGGGCGCGCCAGAGAGACCGGAGTCCACCAGTAAATCGGGAACCGGCGCTGGATGTTGTTGATCAACAAGGCCACAGCCTGCATCAGCACGCTTCCGAGGAACATAACGAGAATCAACGCCCAGCCCACATCGGCCGACTGCGTCACGGAAAGCAATGCGGTTGCTCCCGCGGGCGGGTGCACGGTATTCGTGAGGACCATGATACACGTGGTGATGGCACAGGCCAGAGCGCCACCGATCTGGGGCAACGATTCGGCATGGGCATTCAGGGCGAAAAGCTTGGATATCCCAATACCCACCGTGCTCGCAATGACCTGACTGATGACCGCATTTCGTGGCTGGGCAAAGGGTGATTCGATGGCCGAGAACTCCAGCACCGCAGCAGCACCCTAAGGGATGGTTAGTCTTGAAGCTTCGGTCACCGGTGTAGACCTGAGGGAGAAGACGTACAAAACTCGCCACGATGATCGGGGCATTATGGTGCTCAAAAAGGGGCACATGCATCGAAGCCTCCGCTACGATCAACACACCGCAGAACACCCCTATCAAGGTCCAGAAGGCCACAACCACATTGCCGAGTGGCTTGGGAGACGGGGTCTCTCGGTAACCAAAGAAGCGCGAGACCGGCCGAGGCAGGTATCGCCAAGGCGGGGGCGGAAGAACGGGATTTATATAGGCATCGATATCCACATGGAGACGGGAGAAGTCGATGTATTCAAGCTTGGACGAAGGCCGGGAGGGCTGGGCAAACGTCTGCTGGACTGTCATGATGACCACCCCTGGCCAAGACAAACGCGCTTATTCCTGTGGTCGGTTAGTACCAGGTCCAGTACAACAAGTGTTGTTATGAAAAGGAGTGTTGCAAGTGGATATGAACCTGAAGAAAGAACCCGGACAGGCGGATGCTTGTGTATGCCAGCTCAGTCATGAGACTGCGGATGGAGAGCAACTTGCCCACTGACACAGAAAAAAGAGATGACAGACAGGCAGATACTCCATCCTGCTGAGAAGCTGGCCTGATGGGTCCAAATCAGGGGGTACAAGGGGGGAAGAGGTGGGAATACTTGCCTGGCCTACGTGGTGAGCAGCAACTAAGTATAAGCGGGCGAGCCCATTGAAACCGCCGTGCATCAAGTGGACACCGCAATTTGGAGTCGCTGGGTCTGTGGAGGGAATCCTGAGCCCATATTAATAGTAGGCATCAGAGCTGGAAGAGACGGGGGAGAAGGGCGAACACGCAAGAACAAGAAGATCTTTCGCACGCATCTTGGGCTGGCCATCAGCATCTCCGCGGAGGAGAGGTATTCGGCTATGGTAGCAGAGCAGTCATGGAGGCGGAATTGCAGTGCCAACTGGAACTGACCCTAGTGACTGAACTGAATGGAGTTTGGAAGTTCAAGGTTCCTGGTCTGTCCTTCCACTCACAGCATTTGAGTTGGGTAATGGAAACTCCGGGTAGGGTTTAGCGTCGGGGACGGTGGGAGATGAGGTCAGCCGGTGGGTTTCTTACCACAGATTACCATTCTTTACCATTACTTACCGTATTTTGCCCATCATCCAGTCGAGTCGCCCGTATTGCCCATCCGCCGCCCTTCCTGCAAAAGCAGGGCTGTCGATCAATCCGGGGTAGAGGAGCAAGATCGAGGAAGCTCCTCATGACACCGACGCTCAATACAGCCATCATGCTGACAGGGGTCTAGACTGTCGTAGTGGAACCGTGGGAGGAGGTTCGTGCCTTGGATAGTGTAACGCGCTCTGTTTACACCCCACCACTAGTGAGTTCTTCTTTCATACTCGTGCTATTTAAGGTGCATATCCATGCAAGTACAGTACTTGAGAGTACTGAGCAGCCTGTGTGAAATTCAATTCTCATCCTGTCATTATATCATAAACTCTAAGTACTCATATACACAAACACACTACCCACCACCTAGAAGTCCAGCGTCTTGCCAAGCTTGGAGCTCTCCTGGGCCAACTCGATCAAGCGGATAACCTCGCTGGCTTCGGCTCCACTAGCCGGGAGATCGGACTCGCCGGCAAGAGCTCGCGCCAACTTTCTATAGTACTCGGTCCAGGTCGGGGGCTCGACGGTAGGGAAGACCTCCCTGGTAGGCTTTCCGTCCTGAATAGTGGTGAGAGTGCCTGATCGCGGACATATGTTAGAACGGTGTTGGAAGAGTATGTCAGTGTGCGTCATCGACATACCATATCTGTCACTGGGCTCGCGGCCGTATCCGTTGTCACCGGCACTCAATCCGGCCTTGATGTGCTCTTCCTGGATATCGAGATGGAACTAATCGTCTGAAGTCAGCAAAACGCAGCTCCCCATATTTCGCGGAGTCAGATTGGAGGGAACGGACCTTCCTGTAGCTACCCTTGTCTCCGCGGACCCAGAAGCGCAACTGCTCGACTTCGGGACTGACAACTGCAGCCTTGGCCGTGACCAGAGGACCGTTCTTGTAGTGAAGCAGGACGGTGAAGGAGTCCTCGTAACCGGAGGAGTTCACCTCGCGCTGGGAGCCGAGGAAGCCCGTCACGCGCTCGGGCTTGCCGAGCAGGTGAACGGCCTGATCCAGGAGGTGAGAGCCCAAGTCGTAGATGGCGCTACCTCCGGGGACAACCTTGTTCTTCCACTTCGAAGCATCTGCAGAAGGCTCTTCGGGGCGGTGGCGATCGAAGTGAGTCTCGAATTCAACGACGCGGCCCAGGGAGCCGCTCTTGACCAACTTGGACACAGTCTGGAAATCGGCGTCGTAGCGACGGTCTAACCACACACACACCCATCAGCAAAACCAAACCTCACAAAATTCAAATTATAGGTAGGAGGTGACTTAGAAATACTGACTCTGGTATACGGCCAGGTGCTTGTTCTGCTTCTTGGCCAGGGCAACGAGTTCTTGAGCTTCCTTGGAAGTGGGGGTAAAAGGCTTCTCGACGACGACTGCAGCAACAATTAGCATCAGTACAGTTTCTTATGCACTTGTAGAACAAAAAGAAAGAAAGGACCTACCGTGCTTTCCGTGCTCGAGGGCCAGCTTGGTCAACTCGAAATGCGTTTCAGGAACGGTAGTGATGACAACCAGGTCGACACCCTCGTCCTTGACTAGCTCTTCGGTGCTACGGTAAGACTTGATGCCGGGGAAGTCCTTCTCCGCATCGTCCTCCGGCTTGGGATTGCGCTGCACAATAGCAGAGATCTTGAACTGAGGGACTTCCTTGATGAAAGGAATGTGGAAGACTTTGGCGCTCAGGCCGTATCCCACAATTCCGACGTTCCAGGTTTTCGAAGACATGGTGGGGGGTGGTTATCGTGGGGGTGATGGTTTTGTGAGAGACGAGGGGCAGAGAGATGAGGGGGACAATTGAAGAGGCTAGAGATAAAAGATTTCCGAGGGGGATTGCTCAGTTATATACGACGTCAACAAGGCCCACTTCGACTATGCCTTTGAAGTTCTGAACAGTGATTACACAATCTCCAGCGTGGGGGGGGGGGAAGGGAAGAAATTGGACTCAGTCATCAACTAGTGCGGGGGAAGGTCCTGGCGACGGCAACCACTGGGCCGGGCGGGGCAATGCGGCAAAGGCCGATGCAGCAGCAGCAAGACACTCGGAATTCATTTCAGTGCTGTTGCCGATGATGACACCATCGGCTCAGTCCGGACCGTGTCTCACCTGCCTGTAGGACTTCACACTTTACAACGGAAAACCACGGCCGGGTCTATTCAGCCTGCACTTGATAGATTGATGCGCTGTTCCTGAATAGAACTAGCTCTATCTAATCGCCTGCTACAGTTGCCCTGTCAGGCCAACTAGTGAACATACCTAATCCATAGAGTATTCCATCATCTTCCTTCAATTCGATCTAAAGGCAGCCATGTTGGTATGTCTGTGGTTCTGTTTGTTGTGCCGCGATATGGAACAACTTTAGGCCCTAAGTTAAGTCAATGGTGGGCTATGTAAGCTATCTAGTAGATTCCGCCGGAACCGACAGTAAACGGAAAGGTGGAGAAACTTCGGATGCCCCGAGTTGTACTCCGGAGTAAGTTACTGTACTACGTATCCTCGAACTGTTCACAAGAAAGCCTTTGTTTGGTATTCAATGAACTAGCTGGCAGAAAAGGGTCAGCGGCCGACTGTGACTCTAGACTTCGGCCTCATTCATGAAAAGGTCGAGTAATGCTAGTGAGCCATCCAGCTTAGCAGCCTCTTTCCCTTCCTTCTCTCAACCAGTGTACACAGATTCCCCGAAAAACACCCCTCCCTTCTACTACTCTTGTACCCCCACACATCGGGTGACCTCAATGGCGTCCTAAAGCACACAAGTCGCGTCAGAAAACTCATCTGCCGTTTCATTGCGTCACAGAATCCGACTTACCCTGGTGGTTTCCGGCTTCACGAGTTTGCTCTCGTAGATGAGGTTCGGGTTGCCGATTATGTCGAATTGAGGAGTCGCATCTGCGCCGAGGAATGACTGCACGGTCCTATCCGGAATGCCCTCTCTGTTGTACGTCCGTTCAGGGCCCTTCTTAGCCGCTTCGCGCTTCTGCTCCACCGTACTGCGGACATATTCCAAATATGGCGGGTTGCCGGGGTACAGCACGTTGTCCGCGATCACGACCGAGACCTCGGGCACGATCTTCCCCAGCTGCTCGCAAAGCTTCAAGTCGGTGGTGTAGGCAGGCTTGTAGTGGTCAATGAACAGAACCTCCACCTGCTTGACCTCCCCACTGTCGAATAGCTTGTGCAGGGACAGATCACTGCGACCGACTATGATACGCACAAAGTCGCGCAGACCAGCAAGATCCAGGAGCATGTTCGCAATGGCGGCATACTCTGGGTTCAGTTCGAGACTATAGTATCGCTTTCCACCGGCCCGGCGCACGGCATCACCGAATAGGATGGCAGAGTACCCGACATAGCCACCGAGCTCAATCATGACCTCGGGCTTGCGCTCGGCGATAATTTCTGTGATAAACTTGCCCTTGTCCGGGCCGATGTTCATGAAGTGATATGTCTGCGCGAACTCGTCGATAAGATCTAGGACTTTCTGGGGATTGCCCTGGATCTCGTCTCGGTTGGGCTGATCGTAGATGAAGTGCAGCAACTTGAACTCCCGACCATCCTCGCGCTACAATGAAGCTCGGAGTCAGTTCACACGACATCTCAAAGGGCTTCAAAGCCTTGGACAGCGGACTTACTGATCGGTCCCCGGGACGAGGATGAAGCGGCGCTACGTAGGTGTTGTCGCTCATGGTCAGTGATGGATGTCGCGAGGTTGACAGAAATCTAATCAATGGATATTTTGCGATAGTAGCAAGATTAGGCTGCAAGCTTGGAGATCCAAAGCGAGGGTATCCAGCGAATTTAATGGCACGAGAACCCCCGCGCCTTATCGCATTCGGGATTAGGCTCGGTCTTATCCTCGGTCTTATACTCGACATTTTGTATGGCAGAAGATAAATCCGACAACGTCACAGCCAGCTGAAAGCTCGGGGGACGATAAGGACCACGTAAACCTCAAGAATGGGCCTTTTAAGGAGGATATGACAACATGGGCGACTCACTAGGGGCGAAAGTCCCCCACTATGATGCCGTCCCAAGTGCCGCTCACTCGGAGATGCTTACTCCATCAGTGCCCCTCATGGCTCGCGGATCCCGGATAACCCGAGGCAGCGTGAGGATAGTTCAACATCAGAGATTGATAAGCAAGTCGGAAATGCATTTCCTCATTGTGACTCAGTGCTCACTGATAGTCGGGAAATTTTTAACACGAGGGGGATCAATGTTGTTTGACTTATTTGGCTTGGGTGTGCTTTTCCCCCAGAAGCGCAAGTCACTGGAATTGAACCCATCGACACATGCCGTCGGGGTAGGATAAAAAGTAGACAAGGCGAAAGCGGTGAGTGCTTGCATCGAAGTGCCTAGCACGGAGTATCAAAGCTGCAGTGGTGCTGTGTCAGGCTGTACTGTACTTTTCGTACTGTGCCTGAAGTAGCAGCCACTTACATCTCATTAGTGCTTCTAGTGTTGATTGCGTTGCTCCACCCTGAAGTGATTGGATAACCGAGACGAACTATCGATCGAGTATCACTACTGGCACTAGTTCAAAGACCTCACTATGCGCGAGAAAATAAAGGTTCTAGACTCTTACATTCAAATGACTTGAGGAATGGGTCATGCACATTCCTTTGCCTTGAATTTGGCTGCAGGTGGCCATGTTTCGGCTGATGAGGCAGGGTGGCCTCACTCTGCTTCCCGCCGCATATACTTTGCACGGGCTGGTGCTTCAGCCTGCATGGTTGTCTCAATTGAAGGCAGTTACATTTCACCTCCACGCCTTGTCGCATGTCTGTCTCCTCCTTTCAATCTATGCGATCCTTGACTGTCGCCTTGAATTCATCTGCCAATATCCGCCATCCTGGTACTTACGATACATCAATCTGCTTTACGCTGCCCTTCAGCCTGGGCAACACGCCGAAGGATCATGATTCGTGCGATAGCCGCCAATCCTTGTCAAAAGCAAAGCTGAAGTCCAGCCCCTCGGCCACCGTCAGAATGAGGGGTCATCATCCGGTTTGCCGACGAAAATCATACGGTTATGATCTTGTGGGAGGTCTTATATGTCTTTCAGTTCGACGTGTGGTCGCAATCGACGATGCTCTTTCTCCTTGTCGGCCCAGCCACCTCACCCAACTCAAACAACGCAGCAGTTGATTTCCATCTTCAGGTACGCATCACCCACTGAGCTGCATCGCTGACGTGGTCGCCTTGCAGCAGCATTCCCAAGCTGCTGGTTGTGCTGCCCGCACCCCCCTCTGCCATGAGACAATAAATAATCATTGCCCGGCATTGATTCTGTGCAACAATGTCCACTGCAAATCATCATCTGACATTATGATGGCTATACATACAGTACGACGAGCATTTAGCTCGATTTCTCAAGAAAGCACACTTCAATTCGCCCGCGACATGCTGCAGATCCATGTAATCTTCCATCTGGTGCGGATTGCGGTCTCGATCGCCCTCCTGCCGTTGGACAACACCATTCTTTTGGCCTCCTACGCTGCCGGGTATGTCCCCGGCGACATTTCACAGTCCTCCAGCCACGAACGTCAACGCCAGAAAATCCTACGAGATGAGCACTTCCGTCCGAAAACAGTCCTCGTTACTGGGGTCAATACCCCGCATGGGCTAGCGGTGGCCCGGGGTTGGTACTACGCGGGCCACCGGGTGGTCGGGGCCAACGTCACCGAGGGCGCCATCGCCCCTGGCGAAGGCATGTCCAAGACGCTGGCGGCCTTCTACCACGTTCCCAAGACCAAGTACAGTGCACGGCTGCTCGACATCATCCAGAAAGAGAAAGTGGAGATCTGGATCCCGTGCGCGAACGAGGCCTCGGCCCTCGACGATGCGTCGGCCAAACAGGTGATCGAGAGCCGGACCCATTGCAAATGCATCACCCTGGACACCGGCCTGGCCGAAATCTTCGGCAACCAAGACAATTTCAACCAGTATCTCATTGAGAAGCGGCTCCCCGTGGTGGAAAAACACCAGGTTCTGTCACGAGATGCCGTCCACAAGATTTTGCATCGGTCGCCGTCCAAGATTTATCAGATGCGGAGGCCCTCCCCCACTCCCGGGGATGACAAGGTCGTCGTGCTGCCGAAGCGAACTCTCAGCCTGACCTATTCCGAGGTTAGTGAGATCCAGATCTCTAAGGAACGGCCATGGATACTACAACAACAGACGCGACTGGGCCGGTTTGTTGCAGAGGTCATGGTCATCTGCGGCCATGTCAAGGCGATCAAGATTTATCCTGGCGACAAGGAGTCCGATTGGGGACACTCACGTCTGGACAAGGGGCTCGCGAGGGCGACGCATGCGCTCATGGAACGCTTCGCACTCCAAAGTGGACCCCGACTGACCGGTCACCTACGCCTCCAACTGACGGTGGACGAGGAATTCACCGACAATATTCTCCGCTATGCGATTCATATCGAGGGCTGCCAGCAAGGTGCCGCGGCTGTGAAGTTTCTTCTGGAAGATAAGCACGACTCACTGGTCGCGGAGTACCTGGATGTGCTCGCGCCACACATCAACGGCGTGTCTGGCGAAGTGCCCGCTATAGACATCGCATCCATCGACACGGAAATCTCTACCCCGCCTCCTGAGAATTTCAGTCTCTGCCAGGTGGTCCGCAGTTGCGATGTTCGGAGGGTGCTTCCGGCACTTTACCCTGCCATCGAGCAGATCGATCGCAGCCTGCACGAAGGCAGCAGACTGCTCCTGTTCTGGAAGAATTGGCGGTTCTCCGCCATTGATCCATTGCCGTGGTGGTGGCATACGCATATCTACCAGCCCCTGAAAGAGATCGAAATGATCATGAACGCGACCAATGGCAAGTCGACATAATGTGCTCGCCTCCTTGTTGATTTAACGACTCTCCTTTGTTTCCAGATTATTTTCCTGTGTATTTTCACCCACTTACTCTCCCTTTTTTGTACTCCTCTCCTTTCCCCTTTTCCAAGTTAGCGAACGAAGTTATGACGGATCACAGCACATGAGACGATGCTGTTGTATAGGGAGCATCGAGTGGCGTCCTTTGAGTATATTAGCTTTGTGCGGATCGGCCGCTTTCGAGACGACCGAGGTAATGGACCAATTTGAGTTGAGACATTCTGATTCAAGCGTGTGGTCGCGGAGGCTTGAAACAATAAAGATTGTAGATTGATCTTCGACGGTGGAGTCGGCCAAGCGTGGATGCGTGGCGGCCGTGTCTCCATGAATAGCAACCCCTGTTTCCATGAGAACAAGCTACCTGGCGCTATCATGAAACGGCTAGCGACTAGGGTCAATATACAGAGCTGAAGGATAACATCTTAATAACTGGGCCATATTTTCACAATCATGCATCACCTTTGATCGGCTTTAGAGCCCCCAAGCCAGGTTCACAACGGAGTACCTTGTCAGCATGATAGAGCATAGAGTCGGACCCTCGACCGGAAATTACCGCTATGATAAGCGACGGGCAGACTTGATTATTGTCGACGAGCACCTGACATGTTGACACATCATATGTGTGTAGAGACACAGCCAGCTGCCGAGGGTCCGCTTACCCACTTACGCAATAATCATTGCAGTGCTTGATCTTCATGATCGTTGATATCGTTGATACCGGTGTGCCCTTAATTATCGCTGAACAAGTGGCCATCATCACTTCAACTGGGCTGTGTTGGTCAAAAATGAGGATACGTCAGCCTTGGTGCAGGGTCTTCGATTGGGCAACAAAACTAGGTAGTATTCAAAATTGGGAATGGATACGAGCAAGACACAATTCTGTAACAACATCTTCGATGACATCGAACATCGCAACTGTAAGCAACCTTGATCTTGCTTTTGCTTGTGCATTTCACCAGTCCATGTGCTTTGGGAATTCTATTTTGGGCCGAGATCACGGGCAGGCTAATCCCGGAAGGGTAAGATAACCTTACGGTAACTTACCGCCGCTGAATGAAATGAATTCCATGAATGAAGTGTATTATTATTATTGTTATGACAGCCACATTCACGAGCTTCCACCCCTCCCTCCCACCCACTTTCAATCCAAAGTCTCCTTCTCTTCTACTCTATCCTGATTATTCCTCCCTCATATCCCAGGACTCGTGAGCTTTCTTGAGCTGTTCTTGTGCCTCACTCCTTTTTGCCGGTTGAAGATTATTCCCGGGGGTGATTGCGTCGCTTGTTTCCCCTCCCACCGTTCTGCCTGCCTGCGCCTCTACTTTAGCGTCCGCGCGGCACGATCGGGTTGCCCCGTTCACCTTTGCCGTCGGATTTTCGACTGCTGCTGCTGCTGCTGCCACTGGAATAAACAATCGCATTGCGTTCCGTATTCTCATCCCCCTTGTCGCTGACAATTTCTGCCTATCCCTTCCTGTTCATCTACTCGGAATTCAGTTTCTGGCGGCTCCGAATCATTGGATCTATCTGCGATCAATCCGCCAGCTCCATCGTATCGCGGTCTCGCTTCCTAGCGTAGAGGAAAGCGCCTTTCATCGTCATCAGGCACCACCACTCCTCCGTCATCGACCACTTCACTCCTCGGAAACATGAGAGTCGCCCGACCTTCCTTCAACCCGGGCCGGACGAAAAACATCATCCATGGGTTCCAGGGATTTATCATCTTCCTGGCGTGGGCCTTGACCATCGCCGTGTTCACTAAGGGCGGTGGCATTGATGGGAGATCCGCCTGGTACTGGGCCTTGGTGAGTGCCCATCCATCTGTTTCAGGGGGACGAATGTCGCCAAGGACTCGAGTCTAATGGTTTTTGTCGATAGTGCTGGTTCAGTATCCCCGGTCTCATCTACTTAGTGGCCGTCCCCATGTGGCCGCGCGCACGCCGGTTTGGAAATGTGTACGCCTTCGCGACCGTGGACTGCCTGTACGCCATCTTATGGTTCAGTGCCTGGGTCTGTGTCGCCAGCTACGTGGCGCAGGGGAAGAGCGAGGGTAAGAGCGACAGCTCGACGGACAGCGACAGCAAGTCCAGCAGCAAGCGGGCGAGCGACAGCAAGAAGAGCGGCTGCGACAACTGGGCCTACGGCAACGCCAGCAAGTGCAAGATCAGCACGGCCACCGTGATCTTGGGTGTTATTGTCTTGTGAGTTGTCATCTGTGGCTTTCTCGGATTGTCTGCTAACATGTGATTTTCTACCAGCTTACTCTTCGTGGTCACCGCGTTCATGTCCTTCCGCAACGTTGTGCACTTCCGCCGCACCGGCACCCTGCCCGACGCCGTCTCCGACCCGACCTTCGCCGCCCACACCAAGGCCGCGTTCTCGTCCAACCCGGCGCACGATTTCGAGGAGGAGGAAGACGACTTCCGGTCGCGCGCGGGGATGGGCTCGTCGGTCCGCGGCGATCGCGATGAGGACTACGCCCTGTTGCATCAGAGCGAGGCGGATGACTTCGGCAGCACCACGCACGGCCGCTCGGCGGCGTCGGGCGCCTACGACCCGACCGTCTCGACGGGCAGCGTGCTGCACGACTACAACACCAGCTACGGCGGGGCGCACGGTCAGCACTACGGCGGACCGTCGGAGTACGAGCCGAGTCACAGTGGCTACGGCCACTAGAGGGGTTGACGGAGAGGAGATGCGGTGAAAAGAAAAACCAAAGACAAACCTTCGAAACGAACCATGGGGCGGTGTTTGCGGGCGCACATTTCCGATTGTCATTTCTGGCTTGTTGACTTGTAACATGATGACTGTATGCTGTGATGGTGATTTGGCTGGGGAACGGCCTGTGTAATGGCCGCGCAGGCATACCTGACGACTTATTGGATGACGAATGTATTTTGGTTCTACATAGATGGAATTACATACTTTAACAGAGCAAGCCTGTCGAATTGGTAGTGAACTGGTTGCTTGGACTTGTAGTAACTTACTTAGTGAACAGGATGACACATCTGACCCGGCAGGATTCGCCGAAGGCAGTGAGGGATTCTGCCACCGCCTTTGCTTGGAAGGCTCACTCACCATCAGCGATCAGGACAGCTCATCTTTTGTTTGATCTGGGTTGAACTCTGGACGTCCAGCCGGTGCGCACTTTTTCGTCTGACTTTCTCATCTTGGAGGTTCTGCCAATCTGCCTCGTGAGTTCGAGTCGGATGTCTACCTGAAACCTCAAACACTAACCTCTCCGCACAGACCATTTATCAGCTACGCTACAGCTACAGCATACACAGCTACACTGACTACTGTACGAATCCAAGTCCATCAACGAGTCGAACGAAATACGAAAACCCCCGAATAGACACACAAATCCACCCAATCAACCTACTCCACACGAACAACACCCACCTCATAATCACCACTACCAAAATAAACCACCACCAAACCACCAAACAACAACAACAACAACAACAACAACAACAATCACAACAACCAAAAATGTCCAGCATAGACATCTACAACCCCCTCCCGCTCCACCTGGACCCAACCTCCAAAGCCATCACCCTCACCCACCCTTCCACATCAACATCCGCCCTCCAATCCGAACTCATCGCCCTCAACTCCCTCCACCGCGCCCTCCTCGAAACCCCCAACCAGATCCCCCCGCCCCCGCTCCCCATCAACCCCAAGCGCAGCGCCCAGATCACCAAACTCCGGGACAGTGCCAACGCCGCCTACCGCAAGAACCACTTCGCCGACGCCGCCCGGCTGTACGGGTACGCGATCGACATGGCGCTGGGCCGGCCCGGGTGGGAGCCTGTGACGCTGGCGCGCGACGAGCTGGCGGGGCTGTACGCGAACCGGGCGCAGGCGTGGATGAGCCAGCGGCTGTGGGTCGAGGCGCTGGTGGATGCGCGGTGCAGTGTCGAGAGCAAGGCGGTGGGCAATGTGAAGGCGTGGTGGCGCGGGGGCAAGTGCTTGGTGGAGATGGGAAGGTGGGAGGAGGCACGGCGGTTTGTGGAACGGGGGCTCGAGATTGAGGGGAGGGAGAGTGAGGGGGGCAGGGAGTTGGTGGGCTTGCTTGGGGAGGTGCGGGAGGGGGAGGCGAGGGATAAGCGGGTTTGAGGTGTGGTCTGGGTCTCGGTTTGGGGGGGATTTGTGGTGACGAGGGAGGTGGAAGGACGGTGTTTTGTTTATGTTTGGGATGGGGGGTCTCTGAGCTGAGCTGAGCTGAGGGTGGGCTGATGATGGATGGATGATGCTTATGGTATGCCCGGTCATGGGGTGAAGCTGATTTGCGTCTACGCTGGTAATCGCATGGCATGGTTATGTGTGATGTACTACTTACTCTGCTTGCTGTGTTTTTGTGGTTCTGTTCTGTTGCTTTGCGTTGCGCTGCGTTGCTCCTGGCGTTTAGGGTTGATAGTTTGGGATTCGCTTTATGGGACAGTACATTTTAGTTATGTCTTGATGGACGCTGGGTTGCGCGGCCTTCCAATGGTCTCTCGAGCGTAGTCACTCGTGCATTGACATCCACATACAGTAGATTTACATGAGGGTCTGAAATGGGTGGATCCAGTGCCGATGTCTAAATCGCCTAGGCTTGCTTGCTCCAAAGGCCTCACTAACCTAACATGAATCCACAAGGCAACTCTCGGCTGGCTTCGTACAGCTGCGCCTAAATAAGCAAAGCGCACCCGACATCATCCACGTTCGCAACTGCGCAAATAACTTAGAGATGCGTGCCGAGCAGCATCACAAAAACATCAACAAGTTAACTGTCTCTCATACAGCAGCTTGGGGCTCGATTCTCCCCGGATCGAGTTGTCTTTTGTTTTTTTTTTGTTTGTTTGTGTATAGCAACGTCTATCTACCTCAATGTACGACTAGAGGGGAGATTGTTCCCCCGGCCGAGAAGAAAAAATACGACAGTGATATTATGTATCTTATCTTTAACAACAAACAATCAATCAATCAATTATTCGTTCATCTAATCTACCAAATCCGCCTTTTCCATGGCCGATTGCTCAAGGTCTATCTAGAAGATGGATAGGCAAAGAAAGGGAACTCCGATGCGTGGAATCGACCCGAGCTGCTATGTGAGAGACAGTTTGTGCTCTGGGTTGGAAACCCAGTCCGATGTCAGCCATTACACCACTACACCACTGGGGCTCTCATATTTTAGTATCTATTAACAAACGCTCTGATATGATTTCAACAAGGTCCGATGTGGTGTAATGGCTAACATCGCTGTCTCTCATTGAGATATCACAGCAGCTCGGGGTTCGATTCCCCGCATCGGAGTTCATTTTTAGTGTTCGTTTTGTCAAATACACAGTCGGTCCACCAGGCCTACCAAGTCTGTCTGCTTTTTGTGTTTTTTTTTGCATAGCAATGCATCCATACTCAGTGCGCGAGTAGATCTCTTATCTTACTTATAAGAGAAAAAACAAAGAGGCCAGGCTAAGATAGAAAGAAGTCTCTGGGTGTGCGTGCATGATACCAAATTTTCGGTCGGTTGTTCATACAACCAACCTTCTGCCCCTGCACAGTAGGCCGGGCCCGCCCACCCATTTAAGAATATATGGGAGCAAAAAGTCAACTCCGATGCGGGGAATCGAACCCCGAGCTGCTGTGATATCTCAATGAGAGACAGCGATGTTAGCCATTACACCACATCGGATGGTTGTTGAGAAAGGGCTTTTGTTCCAAAATATATCGTCATTGTGCTGTCACGGTGTGGTTCACGTCAACTCTAAGAACCCGGCGCCATGGTTCGGCCTCAATCCGGGACTATTGTGCTACTGTGATGCGAGGGTGGGTGGAATGTCGGGAGTGAACTGGTGGTCTGTTTGAATTGGTTTCATGGAGATAGCAGCGCTTGTTGATTGATCTCAGAATCTGGGGATTGGGTATGACGGATACATATTTCTACGCTGCACGGGAGGCTTAGACGCTCAACCACGATGTGTGTGGTCTAGACTTCCGACGTCACATATCCCTCTTTCTAGAACAGATCGCTCCTCTAATTCGAAGTACATACAGTATTGTCCGAGCAATTGGAGGCTAGTGGCTTAATACCAACTCGGAGATGCAATTTCAATCCCACCTTGCCCTAAATGAGTCTCATGTGGGGACGTTGCTGGTAGAAATCAGCACGAAGACGGAATGCAGAGCATGTCAGAATGGCCTCCGAAGAAATGGCTCCATACTGGGCTGTCTGGGCCTGGGCTATCAAAGCGGTGGTCCCCAGCTGTCTCTCTGTCTCATTTATGTCTCGACAGGATCGCCACCATTCTGGTCATTATTGTCCTTATACCGTCGGATCAAGTTTCGGGGATTTCTTGGTTTCCAGCAGGCACCATTCCGGCCATTGAACAGTGCTGGCTGATAGGGCGCGGGGAGGTTCAAGTACGGCAGATTCAAAGGGAGGGGTATGGACAAGCGGTGCAGGGTTCGAATGCTGCCTCTGCATAGTCGTTATTGATCTTCTTCCGTATGGCATTTCAAAACTCATTTCTCCGTGCGATGGGTAAGGACTGCCTGAGTGAGTCGCTGCATCAAGTGCGACAGCTTTGATTGCGTCTAAGTGCAAAAGCTACAGGAAGGCCAACAAGCAAAACCCGCACCCGATGGCTTGGTTGGCCTTAGAAGTATCCTTAATCCCGACGAGGCATAGCCCCTTCCTTGGGGCCACCGATTTCGCCGAGGTGCCCAGTGGTTCCAGGACCTTCCTAATCTCATCGACAACAATCGCCCATGCCCCGTGGTCCGGTGCTGGAGTCGCAAATTTCAGGGCCACGAAGGACCCATCCAATAGAAACCGGCATACTCTGCATCCGTATCGCCCCCTAGCTTAGCCCTCCGGGTCCGCACAAGCTTCGCGGTATGGTTCGAGTCGGACGTCCTGGCCGTGGAGACTGATGGTCTGCGTTCTCCCGCCGCCCCCAGAGGGGCAATTCCGGGGTTCATTCAACGGGGGCAGCCTCGACAGCATTGCCGGGGCGCGGGGGTATTAAAACAGCAGACAAACGACAACGAAACATCAATGACCCTACAGGCCCTTCATAACCCCTATGGGAAAGCCCCCCAGCAATTCCCACACCCAACCCCCGTACTCTCTCTATTGTTAGTACTCCGTAGGCGCAGCAAGATTGATCTGTACTCTGTCTTTTGACTGCAAACGAAGCCGATCACGAGGAAAGCTGAGAAGATCCAGGTAGCGCTGGTTGCCTGCGCCTAGGATAAGCATTGTCCGCATTTTGCCCGAATTAGTCCACGCTGAGTCTGCCGTCTGCCATCTGCTGAAATGCTAATTCTCGCATGAAATTGCATTTCCAAGCGAGGTGGCGCATTTCCCTCTCGACTCGAAAAGGCTAGACGCAGGAGCAGTTGGCTCCGTTTCCCTCCAATGGTGCATCCAAAGTTGTCGGACGTACCACAGTACAGTGTGATCCGTATACAAGAACAGGGGTAGTCCAGGACGTGAAAACAGCATCAGATAAGGTACCTGGGATGGGCGTATGATCTGGCATTCCCGGAATATAGTGAATGTAATGAAGTTTCGGGTGGTTAACTTGGATGATAAGGTGATGGTTGTTGAGAGGCATAGTAATCACCGCTCGACCAAGAAGAAGAGTGTCATTGCTATGGCGCAAATCATGACGTTGGCGACCAAGCAACCAAATTTACCGTGTATATCAACTCGAATCCGCCTGTCGGTGTTGAAATTACCGGGGTAGCCTGATGCTCGTTGTGATGCAGTCAGGTACTTGATGGCCACATACATGTACACCCATGCATCACATACGCGTACACTGTAGGACGGCCAACCGTTTCCCCATTCTTCACGCGCTCATTCCCGCCGCAGCTCCGGATTCTTGGTCTGAGCTTGGATCTCTTTCCCCAGGAACTTGTTCCACTGGCGGGGCTTGCCTGCATCGGGGTCTCGGGACTCCAGAATGTCCCTGGTGCCGAACCGCTTTTGCCGATGGAGGAGCGAGTCCCGCATGAACGCCATGAAGCATTCATTTCAGTAACTCCTGATGAGAGGATACAACCGAGAGTATGAGGTGGAAGTGATTGAAGAAGTCAGAGCACACTGAGGTAGCTAGAGTTGGATACTCTGCAACCGTGGGTAGGGAGTAAGATTTGAGGTCTCGGCAAGATTTCAGTTATAGCCCTCTAGTGCTTTGGCCGCATCCGTTTGCCAAACTGTCATCACTTTGATGACTTTCTTCGCGTCACAACCTCTTTTCAAGTCGGAGGTTGATGTTCAATTGGCATCCTTTCCGATGTTTCTCCCATACTGGTTCACGATCCTCAGAAAGCCGGACTCCAACCGAGCTGGGCAGTAGGCATGGGTAATCGAGTCGCCAGAAACTATCCCATGTCAATAGTTGTGAGAGTAAAAAGCTCAGACACGTATGTGTTATGTTCAAGAAGGGAGTGTGTGTAGCTGATTGTCAAGTGAAACGTGGGGCTATTCTCTTCGACCTCACATGCTCCGTACCTTGTTACCTATTCCTCTAGATTCGTTTACCTCATTGAAGTTCTAGAGTATTCATGACCCATCCAGCCATACTAGATAGAGGCATTGCAAATTAGGGGTATGAGTGACGCGCTGTCTCTCGCTGAACGATACTGTTTCGGCTGCATCACTGACTGCTGAGGACACTTAGTGTTGGAGATGGGTAGGCAGACGATGCTGCTACTGGCGTGACATTTGACGAAGGTGAGGAGAATGAGAGAGGTTTTCGTCGGCTGACGGCTCACTTGAACATTTCGTCATGGAACCCTGGCGTGTTATAGACAGGTTTGATCAATAACACGGTAGAAGGAACGAATCTGATGCGCTGGATTGTTTCGCCAGAAGAGATTCAGACTTCATGAGAGAGGAAGGTTAGACATGGGCTTCCTCAATGTCCGGAGAATCGGATGTGGTGATTGCACAACGTCACTTATCTCTGCGACCGCGCGCAGTATGACACGACGCTCAAGTTGTCCCACTGAAGTCCTTGGGAAGGTCGGTGTACCTGACCCCCTTGCTTTAACATGATCGCCGTCTGTTTCATCATAGGCGGCTGCTGAGCGGTTCTGGATCTCGTGTGCAGTTGACACATGTCTTAATGCATCAGCGAGGATGCCGAAGATGTCTTCTTGGAAAACAAAACAACTCCCGTTGGATTCTTGTCGCATTATCGAGAGAGAGCGTGGATTCACGCATGAAATACTCTCCCGATCATCACACTCAAGTCTCTACCGCGTTTCAAAGGAGCCGACTAGGCAGATGTCGCTTTGATAGCCACTGCTGTCGTCCCATCCCCAAGCTTTGCTTGAATGGTTGTATTAGGATAGCGACCGTAGATCTACCCGGAATAGTTTCTGAGTTGCTCGAGATTCTTAGCCACGTGCCTACCAGCGACAATGAGGTCCATGGCCATGGCTTGAAGTCGCATGGCACACGCTGGCATGAGCTGCAGCTGTAAGTAAAGACGATACCTGCGACCGTTTTTGTTTGATCCTTGATGAAGGAATCCAAATTGTGGAATCTTCTGGGGTAGTAGCGACTAAGGGATCAGTGCTCCTTGACTCCCCAGTCAAAGAGTTCGCAACTCGGAAGAGGCCATTTGGTCTCATCGCAGGTAGTGAGCTGGTGCCAATCGCCTGACTTCATGAGTCCAGAATACTTCTGACGATATTGATGATGGTAGTAAGCCTCCATAATTCTTCCGTCGGTCTCATGGACTTTATCCATGTTCCCCTGGACGTGAGGCGGGTTTTCTTAGACTTAACATATTGTTGGGAAGTTTTTTTAGTGGCGGCAGCCAAACAAATCGCATCCCAAGAATTTGGTTGTCAAGGGATATGCCGACATTTCGCTGAGGATCTGCGAGCTCGGGTCCTATCGTGAGACTCGTCCCCAAGTGCCTTTTCTCGGTATGTCTATGACTTCCAACTATTCAGAGGCGTAAGGCCTCCTCGTCATAATGCTGCTCTTGTCTCGACCTGAGATCGCATAACCATCGGTATTTTATAAGTTTGTCATGCGAAAAGCCCAGAGACAACTGGCTAGCGAGCTCGTTATAGCAAACGCAACACTAAAGGTCACTGCCGAAGTTGAAATCCCGGACTTTGTGCTGGTTGTGGCAGGCACGCGCAGAAGACAATCAATCCTGCCCCGAAGGGCGCACAGAGAGAACAAAACCCAAGAACGAGGCAGAAGACCCCAGACGAACAGGAACACCCGCATCGAACAACAAAAAGAGCGCAGGGCCCGGTAGCGTGACGAGTGGATATGGTAGACACTGGGTACTGACCCCGTTCGATACAGAGAGACATGAAGTCAATCTGAAACAGCACGGTTCAGAGTCCAAACCAGGAAGAGGCCATGATCAATGTACGCAACTTCCCCATGCTCCATCGATACCCTGCTGGGTGACCCTCATCGCTCACAAACAGGTCTCTTCGATGTGCGAGCTCAATGTTGACATACACCTTTTTTTCATCAGAGGTAAAAGCAGGAGTTGTTTTGCCGGCTGCGAACGGGTGACAAGTTCATGTAGGTAGAGCTACGAACAGCAGGTTTGGCTTCGTCCGTTTCCACCGCATTTGATGTTTTCCGCGTGCTACCGTCAATCCGTCTGAGATGAGGGTACCTAAACTGATTTGAGATCTGCGTACATAAATCGGAAGCTCGTTGCCTGAGTGGTTCCAGACCAGAGACGCTCGCAAGTTGTCGACGCGTCCGTGCTGCGCGACTGGCCCGAGGCTCTTATCCACGAGGATAGTGCCCCAACGGTATGTTCGCGCTCGTGCTGAGCGAGAATTTCCCGCGCGCGACCAGCGCGGCGTCAACCCTAGACTCGCTGTTGGTCTTATGGGAGACGGTATTAGGGTTCCATGTGGGGAATCTTCATGCCTCTCGGCGGGCACCGCAGGGGCACTGCGCAAGGACCTTTTACTTCTTTTATGAAGCTTTCCAAAAGCGTCTTCCAACTGCGCCATTGATTTATTCTCTTCTGGAAGAATTCACGCCGGACTTGGAATGCACGGCTGCATCAGAATTTGTGTCGTTGTTGGACTTGGCCATGGTGAGTGCAGGTTTACTTGTGAGCACAGATCTAGCCTGGTGCTTGTTTGGGCCGGGTGGTCGGACTCCTAGTAGACGGATTGGATCAGTCTCGAGACCTTTTGGATTTCTGTAACTTAACGAACAACACTCACCAGACTTATTCATGAGGTTGACTTCGGACAGAATCATGGTATAGGTACCAGCATCAGTGCCTGAATAAGGTGGATAGTCGCCTCTCTTCCCCTGACTGTTCTGAGATGGAAGACTTCTGAAGATGTCCGAGGAGAGCTCCGAGGTAGTTCCTAGATTATTGATTCTTTGGTGCCCGCTCGAGCCGAGTTTAGGCGACAGCGATCTGGTCTGTTTCCGGGCTTCTGGTAGAATACTTGGATTAGGCCTTTCAGATTTATGTATGCCAGAATAAAGGGATTTACCAGCATCTCCAGATAGCGCAGTCTCAGAGATAGAGCTAGCATTGACATTGTCATGAGCACTTGGGCTGCGAGTGCGTTTGCCATTATCCCCGTCTAAAATATACAGATCTTTAATTCTGTCAGAGGTATGATTTAAGGCTGTTTCCAGGTCGATGATCCGCCGGTGCTTGCTCGGACCAGGTATAGCTGACGGCGATCTGGTCCGCTTTCGGGCTTCTAGTAGAAGAGTAGCATCAGCCTTGCAAGGTCTCTATATATGAAGGCCGTTCATTCTTACCAAGCTCATTTCTAGGAACAATCACAAAGGATGGCCGTATATCCGTCAGGAAATACAAGGCCGCCTTCTATGATTTCTCGTTGTCGATCAGGAAGTTTCCCTCTGTATAGGAAGCAATGATCTGCTGAAGCCTGGGATTGTCCTTTCTAATGATGTAAGTTCTTCTGTGAACTTCAGAAATGACATCTCCCTTAGCCAAAGCTTGCCGAATCAAGACCTGTAAGTCACAGGTCTGAGCCTCTTCAGCTATTCTGCATTGATGGACTAGATTCAAGTAAACCTCAATGAAGCCGAGGCGCAATCGTAGAATGCAGGAAGAACGCATGATGAGATGCTACCAATATAGCATGCCATCAGTCTAATATTATTGAATTTGCACATCGTATTCACAGCAGTAAAGCTTTGCGTGAAAAGAGTAAGTTCGGACCACTGCAACGGAGGCGATTGGCTCGTCTAGAATATCTTGCAAAGCTGCCATAGTCGCAGACTCGAAGGTAGCGCGAGTGAGTACAACTCTGTAGCATGGTTGCGAGCCAATGGTGTCAAATCCGGTCAAGGTCTCACCTTACACCATGTGCAGCTTTGCGTATGCGGACAGGACGGACTGCAAGATAAGCACATCAAATGAGTGGTGTAAAGGCGGTTATAGGTGTCGAGCCCGCAAACCAAGGATGACTGCGGATCTTTCGTTCTTCATTCGGTGGGTTAAGTCCCCCACCTCCTTCTTCTTGGTTTTCTTTTTCTCCCGCTTGTTAGGTGAAGGTCCAGGGATAAGGGAGCCATCCGAGGTGAGGAGAGGCGGAGGGGCCTGGGCCTTCCTCTTCTTGCGCTCGGTGGTTTCTTCCTCTGGCGCTGTGCACGAGAAGGTGTAGTGGTCAGAGCCACCGCACCTGTCACAGGGTCGCTCAGGGGGGACCCCCAATGCCTCCTTTGCCTCGTAGCCCTTCAGTCTCTCTTCACAGGCCGCTGCTTTCCTCGCCTTCCTCGCCTGCTTCGCCTTCGGCTCATCAGTCCGAGCCTGGTGGTCCTCCACTTCTTCAGCCCAGCTTCCCGGTTCCTGCAGGTGGGGTCGGGTTGAGTTCTTTACATAGGGGTAGGGGACGCCCGCTCTTCGTCTATGTCTAGGTCGCTGTTATTATCAGGGAGAGGGGGGTAGCTGTTCTCATACGTCCCCATGTCAATATCCATGGTGCCTAGCAAGCTTGGGGCTTCAACGCTCCGTTCCCCAGTGGGGGTGGCGGGGAGGCCCTCTCCGAGGAGTCCGCCTCCGAAACCCGCCCCCTTCTGGGTCTTTTTACTGCTTTTCTTGTTCTTCCCCGGAGCAAACATGCTGGCTTCAAGCGCTGGGGGGTTTAGGCCCTGGTTAACATCTGTGTTCTGTGCGTTTGTAGCCATGATGATTTCTCGGTAATTGAAGGGTGGGTGAGGATTATTGACGTTGTCTCCACAACGCCGCCTCATCGCTTCTCTAGCCAGGTCTTCTGCGACACTTGGACTAAGAAGCGCTGGGTACTTTCATCGCAATCTGTCAAGAGGTAACAATACCAAGGCAACATCAACCAGTAATCCATGCGAAGGTCGAACTCTTACCTCCACACGACCTCGGAGTTTGCAAGGTGTCAGAAAACGGATCCAGTATGCTGTGTTATAACGGCAAAGTCTATATGCCGGATGCATATGCAAGCAGCCGCTAAGCCAGACATCTGCACAATTCACCTTCAGCAAAACATAGAAAATCGCATTCTGAGGGATCACATCGGATTTAGGGTACCATTTCGCTCTCCCGCCTCGCTCGGTCGAAGTCCCCAGTCAGGGTTTTAGACGCGCGGTCTTCCAATGGAAGCCACCACCCGCGGGGTGCTAAAGGCGAAGAAAACCTCTTCATAATGACGTAATGCAGCAGCGATTGGTCTTCTGGGTCTGTGTATCTGGTCGTGTACCGAGCACGTCGATGACTCTTCAGACAAGTCGTAGCCATTCTTCCTGAAAGGTCTTATGATCATCCAGAGAATTGGCATCCTGAGTTGCCGGAGGGGCGTTCTTGAAGATGGTCCCGCAGGAGAATCCTGCGAGGTTTGGTACTGATGCTGTTTATGTGGGCGGGTGTGGGCAGGAGTGGTCAGGTTGGGGCTGGCGTGGTCAGATTGGGGCTGTACATCGCACACGGTACAGTGTTTGATTGCTCTCGTGCCATCCTTCCTGGCATGACCCCTTACCGGACTGCTTATAAACAGGTCGTGATTCTATCAGTTGATCATGTTTGGCGCATGCTTTCTTCATATGTACTGCTGCAATTAATTCGAAAGCATTCTCTGAGTCCGAATACATGCCGGAGTGCTGTAACTGCCACATCCCTTGTGGAGTTGAGAATAGCGTTCGAACATGCCAGGATGGAAGCAACCATATTCACTTCTGGATCACAATCAATCATCCTGTAGAGCGAGCCCCGACTGAGGATATCGTATGAGCTGAACAGCATGCTTGACAACGGTCGAAGAATGCTGGCCAATGTCAGTGCTATGTCTAGTGCCAGAGTCAGTGCCGCTATAGGCGAATCAAGTTTTGTCACCTGTCATACGTACCGCTCTCCACGGCAGAAGAACTGATTCAGGCGGAAGAGAATTCATTACCAAGCACCCTAGTGGTGCCGGGATAGCTTGATCCTCTTCAAATGTGTAATTCTCCCCACCCGGCCAGGACCGCCGGCCGGGTGTGCCCGCAGGAGGCGGGGAGGGTCCAGACATTACAGGACCGGGGACCGCGTGGGCTGCCACGATATTTGCCATGGTCAACTGCTGAGCACGACCTCCGCGGACCCAAGTGACAGTTGGTGGAAGCCGGAGCGCTGTCGGTTTAAGAGACAATGCGTCATTCTAGCAAGCACTAGGCGCGCAAATAGAGACATAGAAAGCTGGCTTCGCAATGGGTTCGATTCTTTTGAGGAGATGACAGTTGGATGAAGTTGGTAGTTGTTGCCAACTAGCCGAGCGACACTTAGTGTTAGGAGAGCACCGGCCATGTCTCTGGCTTAGAAGCCTTGGTTGTTTTATCCTCGCCGCGCATGGACTGCGCAAAGAACTCGCGGAAAGCTTGTTTTTCTGTAAGCGTCTCTCCGGGAGCCGAGGCACTAGGCATTACTCCAGACATCTCCAGTGTACGGTGGCCAAGGCTGAGGGTTATGTGCCGCACTCACAGGTCGAAGACTTCTGTGGGTCGTGTGGTCTGTAGTTGGTAGAATTTGTGTGGTGGTAGTGGTGGTGGTAATGGTGCCGTCTCTTGTTCTTCTCGTCGGCGTCAAGAATTTGATTGATCATCTCCATATTGGACTGGTTCCGGTCGATATGACGGTAAAGATGGTCACGGTTTCGGTTGTTTTGTAGTCCAAGAACCAAAGCAATATACCTCTCTGTTGTGAACATATCCGAGTCCTGGAAGTTGTCGACTCTGTCTTGAGCTGCGTCATCAAGATTTCAATACCCAATCGGCGGCAGCGACGGCTACGGCCCAGCGAATTGAAGTGACAATTCGGACAGGACCCGCCGAGGTGGGCAGGATTACACAACCAACTCACGACCCGCGGCCCTTCAGATAAGCGAGTCATAAGCATCGGGATTCCTCTGTTGTTGCATGATGATCGGACGCATGCCACTTAGCTGGTGGACGTAGAATCTCAGTGATGTTTGCGCCCCCTTCTCCGTCGTCCACTAGATCGAAAAGCTTTCGAACGACAACGTCCTACATCTCGTTTTCGTCGACCTCCATAGCATCTCCTTCGTCAATAGGTGGGGGAGCTGGTGCTGCTTGCTGAATAAACCAGAGACGGTGCTAGACGTGCTCGCGTCTTTGGTTTGCCGGAAGCTTCCGAAATAGTTGGCACGGTAGGATCAGGGAAACAGAAGATCTGCGCGACGCGACGAAGCATGTTTTCGAGCTGAGTGATCGTCTCCCGCTGAGAAAGAATGGTTCGCAGTAGGTTCTAATTGTGTTGACTCCGCGTAGGGAGAGCCTATGTTCGATGGTTTCTCGGATCTGATTCCATCTGGAAAGATTGGGTCCGACGGATTGCAGGGGCCATAGAACTGGAGATAACAGTTTGAAATACGCCTCCATCGAGTAAGGACAGTGGGCCGCCATCATCTTTGTTGGCATAATCACCGTCCCCTTGCATGTGTGCACTCAACCATTCTCTAACAGTCATCGGGTGGGATGGCTTTCAGTCTGGCTTATCAAATTGTGGACAGGCTCAGAACCCGCTTCAGTAGAATATAGCCTTTCTACCCTGGATCCAAATCTATCCGACTAGCCGTTCGCATAGACGTTGAAGTTTGGGCGCTTTTTTTTTTTTCAAAGAGAAGAGGCAACTTACCCACAACGATTAACGCTGGGCGCTCCCGCAGATTCATAGCGCTTAATGAGGCACATTTCGCAGGAAAGGCAAACTTGCGGCATAGCATGTTTCTGGATTGCGCTATTGAAAGCACTAACCGAGGCCAATTTCATTCGCGTGGGTGTTGATGGCGTCGGTAATGCAATCTGCCTCTGTCCCACACGGAGAAGTCTTCCAACTGCCTGTATCATATTGTAATGTGGCTGGAGAGAAAAGGTGATTGTTCCTCCTTCATGGCCGAGGGGTACAGCCATTGTGTGGCTTTTCACGTCAAACTCGGTGCGTAGTGTATGGTTGGGCTGACTTTGTCCGAGCTGTATCAGGAAGATGGCGCATCGCTGATTGAGAGCACCCTGAGCGCGCAAATTATGGGGTCTGTGCAGTCGGATCGCAGAGAACTTACCCCGTGCTGCTCTGGGAGTCACTTGTGCGCCGACTCGGCGAGCAGCTTTGTAGATAAGATTAAACAAAAGTGACTGGAACTGTTCAGTATAGCCATACAGGCTAACATGAATCAAATCCATAAAAAAATCCCAGACGAAGGCACAGGCTGGCTGGCCCCTACGGACCGCCGCCGCTGGAAGTAAGCCTCTTTCCAGCTGTAAAAGGAAACAGCAGACATCTCCCCTGGTACCAAGTGGAATGTAGCGCTTATCCCTATAGGGGATTAGGTCGAGGAAGGCGAATGCGGATGAGCTCCAGGACTAGATCAAGAGTATGCAGGCAGGTGTCAAAGACATCATAGACTGCGCCGTGCTGTAGAGCAGTGGCATAGATGTAGATCACCATCTGAGTTGCCTCGCCGCCAGCGGGGGAGGTCTGGAGATTTTAGGTCCAGGGATCGCAGGGTCTCCACGACATTGCTCATTGTCAGCTGCTGAACACGGCCCCTTCGCGGCGGCGATCGCGAGGCGGAGGCATCGTCCTCCTCAACTGTAGGAGGGGCGCTTGTGGTGCACTAAGCACAAGTCAGCTCAGTCCAACCTAGGAGAACATTCCACTCACGCGGTGGAGGAGAAACAAGCCAACGCGAAAAAGAAAAGACATACCATGGTGACAAAGTAATCGCAAAAAACACAAGGTACGAAGTAGAATTCGATTACTTCGATAGTCCTGTGGTGACGCGTCAATCTGTTTATCGCTCGGAGTTGTTCTGCGAACGTCTTCTCCTCTAGCATCTCACGCCCGTTCCACAGCGCCAGTATCGGGGCTCCTTGTTGTCCTTCATTCTGCTCAAGTGAGATGGTCATATCGAGAGACATCTTCTGTGCATCTGTGTCAGCTTCTCCAGCCATCACCGACGCCGCTTCTCTGATCATTACCCGTTCAGTAGCCATAAATCCAGAAGGAACTCCCTGACTAGCCTCGAATGGTTCTTGAAAAGACTATAAAGTCAGGCGAGATCCGCTCCGGAGCTTGAAATCTTAGACTGGATTTTGACTGGCAAGTGCCTCAATGGCTGTCCGGGCTCGATCGCAGACTTTTGGAAACATGTCAAGGACAGATTTTGACCACGTAAAGAGGTTGGTGATAGGGTATCTAGAAGATTTTCGGTATCGCGACTCCCTTGACCCTCACCTGCTGTTGTGCGACCCCCAGTTCGGGCCATCGAGATAGCCATCGAGAAACCTCGGGATGGGCTTTTCGTTTGGGCAGAACGAGATCAACATACGTCGCAGTGTCTTTCCAAGCTGAAAATGGGTCCCTCCTTCCAGCAGCAGCCATTCTTGCGATACAGTTTATAGTGCGGGAAGCGTCGGTTGACTTTGCGCCTTTCGGATGTTTTGGCACAGAGTCGATAGAAGAATATTGGGGAACTGCGATGTTCTGGACGTGGATGGAAAGAGGGCGAGCGAGCGAGAGAGCAAGTGCGAACAAGAGAAAACAACACAAGCAGGAGCAAGATGTTCAATCCGCTCCCCCTGGACTGACCGAAGCTCATTGATGTGGATGTCATTGAGAAGAAGTGCATGCATGTATTGAAACAGCAATGAACTCCTCCAATTTTAGAGAGTCTTCAGTCACAGTGGCAAGCCAGCCTTGAGGATTGCCCTTTAGAACACGGACCTCATGATCGGATGCATTCTTTCTGTCGAAGAATTAGATCCCCGAAGCATAAGCATACACACCCGATATAGACGGAACGGAAGATCCTCATATCGGGGATTTCAGCCTTAAATTCGGTTATAGAGACGGCTTCCTTCAACAAGTCTTTGTTGACCGCCCACGACTGAGTGGCACCGGATTTATGGGACTTTGCGGTGCTGGAAAGACATCGCCGAGGCTTGGAACAGATGCTGGCCGCAATTATCAGAGTGGCACGGGCTTCATCGGGCGTCGTATGGTTGGAAAGGCTCGAAGGGTGGCTTGGCAAAGATCTCCATCCCAACCGTGTGCGTGGCACGCTGAGGCCAGATGCCCAATAAGAGCCGACGTCAATGAACGATTCCTTCGAGACGGCATCCTCTCGGATTTTGCCCCTGCCATGACAGCATCGTTATTGGATTTGATGTACTCAGACTGCTGCTTGCTCAGCGTCAAACCTTTTGTCAAGGTAGTCTGAGCTGTGTCTCCATGTTTGTCCCAGACAAGGAGTCAGGCCAGAGAGAACATATCAGTGAAGCAGCTCTAAGAGATGCTATGCGACTGGGAAGACCTGCCCATGCTCTCTCTCCGTGACCTGAGGGTTCGGAAAAAATTAGCCTGGCAATGGACACAATATCAAACGCCAGGTAGTCAGGTCCTAGCATACTTCACGAAGGACTTAACCACTGCCCAACGGGACAACAGCCCATGGGCAAACAGAATCTTATCGACCCAAGCTCGTTTCTGGGATGATCCACTGCCTTCCAAGAATGCTTCCGCTGCAGAGATGAAGACCGCGTTATCCTCGTCAACAAGACCTTCTAGACCTAGCAATCTTTCACGATCAGAATCATTTGAAATTATTGAAGACACAATACAAAAGGGGCTACCTACCATCTGAAGATAATTGCGAACCCCGAAAAGTCTTTCGTCGAGGTTGCGACCTATCCATCAAGAACATCAGTCTGGGAACATTTCGAGGAAGCCCACAAGGTTCGCGTCTAGTCCCAGAACATTTGTTATGTATGCAGTATAGGCTTCTAGGCTCAGTGCCATAGTTCTCAAGGAAGCTGGTCACATCGCGGTGAATGCGGAAAATGGACCGACCTATTTGTTGCAAAGATAGAATCTGCCACCGAAACGGTAGGAGCATTCTGATTAGCCAAATATCCCCATCTAGTAGTAGGTTGGTTACAACAAGGGAAGAACTTACTGTACGACTCGAGAAAGCATCGTACAAAAACCCGATCCGAAGGGCGGATTCCAGATGACCAACTGCTTAGCACGTTATCAGCCGTCTGTTTTAGTCACGACGCACAGAGACTGTCCCTTGGGACAACAAACTTACTTCAACTCGGTAGGCATTTCTACCGGAGTTCTTGGTGCGCTATAGTATTCGTACCTGCTCACTCATTCGACTTCCATCGTATCTAGAGATCGAGCAGGATCTTCACCGCTCCACTTGATACCTGGGAGATCAATTCGTTACTACCCACCATGGCCTTCAAGTCTTTCAGGTCCAGGCTATTGAGGTGCGCGATCGCATCATTGAAAGATCCTCGACCTCGTCAATCTGGCGACAGGATGTCCTCTGCACCAGGCCGGTAGCCTTGAGCCCCACGGTGTGTGGGGTCTAGGCATAGTCTCACGCCTCCACTTGGTTCCTCGAGGCAGTCAGCCTTTGCCCACCCCAGCCCACCACAGAGGTGTCCGGAAGCGGCCCCGACTTTGATGCTCCCACTCAAGCACGTCTTCAAGCGCCTCGCGTTTCGTCATCGTATAGAGCCATTCCAATCCGACGAGATCCATCCTGAGCAGGGCGAGATAAGAGATGATGACGTAGAATCTCTCTGTCAGACAGTAGGCATTAGAATCTTGGAAAAACGCACGTACAGCAACGACGACTTACTGGACACGAGGCGAAGTTCGAATCCCGCGACTTTGAACTTTCCAGCGTGGACTTTACTCGCGCTGGCAAGGCGCAAACAAGATGCAAGATTCCCAGGGGCTCAGATGGTCCAAGACAGTCCATCCTGTCTTGGCAATCTTGCCGACCTGCTTCGACACGTCCCGGTGCCTCCAGTCCTCTAAAGAATAAGGAGAGAAGCCATAGAATAGTTCATGAAGACGGTGATTGAAGAAGGTGGACGAAGGTCGAGGATGGTGCTTGATAAAGGTGGTAGATGAAGGACGTAGAAGATGGATGACGATAGTGGATGAAGTTGATGGATGGTGGATGTCGAAGAGAAGGATGAAGATGAAGAACGCAAGATGACGATGGTTGATGGAAGAAGATAGTTGAAAAAGTTGGTTGAACAAGGTTGAGGGAGATGGAAGAGAGGAGAAGGAAGAGAAGAAAAGAAGGAGGAGGAGAAGGGAGAAGAGGGAGTATTTAGGCTTGAGGATGAAGCTCACGGAAAGGAAGGGAACGGCAGCCATTCACACAATATGTGTGATTGAATGTATGAATAAGAACAATGAATGGTGTGAACAGTCTAGCCAAAAGCCAAGAACCCCGAACATTCACAAGAACAAGACCATCAAAGATAAAATTCACGGCCAGGATCCTGGCACCTAATCCAACCACCATCTACATAGCTGAGCCCAGTGAAAAGCTCTACGCCGTCTATACTCTACACCCAAGACTATTTCCTACAGCCATGCAGCAAGCTTCAAACCAAGAAAAGAAATCCAATAAAACCTAACCAATGGTATATACAAGAAAAAGTCACGATCCGCCAGGAAGATCAAACCTGCACACTCGACCCATCGCTCTTCTTGCACGAGCAGCCACACGAATCCGACGCGATCTGGGACGGCGTGCGCGCATAGCTAGGCGGCACGTCCAGGGCCGGGTTGCGGGCGAAGAAGTGTCTGGGCCGGAGGAGGAGGGTCATGGGCTCGGCCGGCATGATGGGGTAATCCTCCGGCGCGGGGAAGTGGGTCAGGCCGAAGGTGTGCCACAGCACGATGTCGGTGTTGTCGATGGAGCTGTCGGCGCCTGCCTCCTCAATCCAGGCCGGGAGACCCTGAGAGGGTTCGCCGGAGGTCTGGGGGACGTGGCGGCCCGCGGGGTGGATTTGGTCATCGGAGTCTGTTTCAGCCAAGATTAGTTTCCAAGTCTATTGAAGCGCAAGCAAAAAGAAGTTGCGGGAGGTGTGGGACTCACATTTGGTAACGTGAACGGCGTGTCTAGCGAATCCAGCTCGCTTCCAGACCAGACCACCCTCCTTGGGAAGCAAAGGAGGCACCTCGCGGCTGACCAGCTTGTAGGTCACGGGCTTCTTGCTGTACGGGTGGAGCTTGTTGGTGTTGGCGATCTCCCAGGTGCGGCTGGTGTTTCCGTCGTAGTCCGACATGGCCTCGCGCGGGGTGTTGAACTTGGTCTTCTTGGCGTAGAAGGCGTTGCCGTACTTGTTCTCGGCGCTGCCGACCTCGCCAGGGCCCCGGACGGCGTCGACCTGGAAGACGGTGTTGTTGGGCCCGTCGATGTTGGCGTCCACGCGCAGACAGAACAGGTGCTGGTGGTTGTGCGCGTTGACACCGGGGTAGACCTCGGTGCCCCAGCCCTTGGTGTCCTCGCCGGGGTTCATGGCGTAGGTGTTCAGAATACCCGTCAGCTTGATGTCCAGCTGCACGGTGCCATCCTGGTGGAAGATCCAGTACACGCAGTACTCGTAGTTGGCGGCGGTGAAGATGTGCGAGATGATCAGCTTGCGAGCGCGGGTCACGATAACCGACTCGTCGCGGAAGTCGGTGTGCTTGAAGAGGATGCCGTTGTCCTCCTCGTGGATGCAGATGGCGTTCTTAACAATGGTGCTGGCACCGGCGCGGTTGACGAAGGCGGCATCCATGTAGTGGATGGCACCCTTGCAGTCGCAGCCCAGGGAGAGACTGTTGGTCATGTAGCCACCGCCGTATTCACCGAGATCGAAAGCGTGCTTGCGCTGGTGGGGGTGCTCGGGGTTACCGTAGGGGACGACCATCTCCGCGAGCGAGAGACGGTAGAAGACCGGGCGAACGTTGCCCTTGTCGTTGAATGTGATGTTGTTGAGCACGATACCCTCGCGGTAGTTGAATCCGACGTGGATGTTCCAGTTTTGCCAGTCAATGTTGCGTCCGTTGACATTGAAGGAGACACCTTCGGGCTGGGTGATGTGGATGGGCTTGATATCCGTGCGGAAGCCACCATCCTTCTCAATGGAGTTGACGTCGTAGTTGTTAGGAGGGGCCTTGCTGATCGGTCTCCGTACAGGGGGAATATCGATGTGAATGACCTCCTTCGTCTCGGCGTTGAAGATCGGGCAGAAGTCCAAGGGGTATGTGTATTGAGAATCGTCAACGTGCGGGCGGTAATACATGAGGGCTTGCTGCAGGCGGACATCGGTGCCGAAGCGCTCGTCGTATCCGATAGTCCAAGCTAAATCCAGTCAATACCAGCATCAAAAAGTACCGAAGATCGAAACTCACGATCGCAATAGACCTTGTGCATTTCTTCCTTGGGAATGCCGATGATAGCACACTGTTCGATAACCTTAGGGTCCTTGCGGACGATCGACTCCACCTCCTGCAGATCCTCCATCGTGATCAGAGGCTGCACGCCAGGTGTGTGCTTCCACTCGATCACCTTCTCCTGCTCAAGATCCACAATGCCATCGTAGACCTTGCCACCGGGCGCGATGGCAACCACGTCTGCCATACGGACGGGGCGAGGGGCCTTCTGAGGATCCGCCAGCCAGGCCATCATCTCGACCTTGCGGGGCTCGTAGAGCGTGACCGCATTGAAGTTGACTTTGCCGTGCTCCTTGCGGATCAGGGCCACCGCGGTATCTATTTCCGATGTCGAAAGAGGATCGAGGGGGTGAGGAGGAGGCGCGGTGGCCTTGACATGGTGAGCCAATTGTTGCAAGCGGTCGAGAACCATGATGTGCAAAGTTAGAGAATGGTAAGGGAGTAGTGTTTGGTCGTTGTGTCCTCGTGGGGTCCGGAGTTCGAGGAGTATGTAATTCTAGAAATATGAGAAAGTGTGGGGTAGAGCCGGGAGATTATCACGGCGGATGCTGGAGAGAGTAGACACAGACACAACTTCCAGCACAGTCTTGTGAGACTCTTGAGTTATTCCGACAACCATGAATGGCGGACCCAGTGGGTTTTAAAACAAACCGTGTCCAACAGCCATCTGCATGAAGGGTAGGAGTGACTGAGTGACTTCGTTCCGGATGAACGATAACAGCAGCGGTGTATACGATAAGCGGATGGAGAATCATGGGTGCATCGCCGATAAACCCAAGACCCGGATCCCTTTTCCCAACCTAGTCTAGCGTCCGATATGTGGCCGAGGCAGCCGAAAGCGGAAATGAGAACCTGAGCGGGCCAGACTCAGCATTCGCATGCTTTTACCCAATGCTTCACTTGCGGGATGAGGGGTTGATAGCCTGGACTACTCCGTAGGTAACTTACCTCGTAGGCTTTAGGTAGTAGTAATCACACATAGTAATCCAATGCGATCTGTCAAACCCTCTCCCCGCTCTCTCCACCTATCGCATCCCCACATACACTAGACTCAGTACTGCCAACGGAAGTGGCAAACCCCTCAAGTGACACATATCGGAATATGTCAATTCAAACTGGAGCCTATCTCTAAAAATGACAATTTCTTTACGCTCAGTGATAAGAAGCCGATCGGGTATCGCATCGCATCGCTCCCTCAGCAGATAAGTCTCGGAAACGCCACCGCAACAGTATGAAAGTGAGAAAAAAAAAAGATGATCATATTCCAGCCGTAAGAAGAACACCATACACCCTTGCAGAAACCCCACCTCCAAGACTATACGAAGGCACTTCAGGCGATGAACTCCATGGACGAACCGAGAGAGCAAACTAGCAACACAAACGAACAGGAAAAAATGCACCAAGAAAGCACAACCGATGCCACATGCTATGTACATCCATCAAATCGTATAGGGTTTCCTCCCATCCCTCCCACCGGGTACAGACCAGCTAAAAAAGAAAATAAGGCAAAGACAAACCAGAAAACCCAGCTTAGACATCAGCAATTGAAAGCACATATGTATCCACCATATCGAAAACACCCTCGGATGGGCGGGATTATCGTGGGCCGCAGTGTAGGTTCCTATACAGAAACGAGAAGGATAAAGAGTTAAATGTTCGGGAGGATTGCGAAGGCGAGATCGTAAACCTCGGCGCATCTGGCTCGAATACCCTGGAAAAAGGAGGGAGACGATGAGGACCGCCGATCAGCGCGGACCAGAAAGATCTCTCACGATTTGGCAGCCTGGAACTGTGCCAATACACCGCCAGTACCACCGGGGGTCATTGTGTGTGGTGTTTGGCTTCCGCCGATGTGACCAGCGTTGGGGGTGCTGGGGGTGCCCGTGGCCGAGTAGATGGTGGCCCCATTGAGGTTGGGGGTCTGGTGAGGTTGCATGTGGTACAGCAGCGCTGGCATCTGGCCGTTCAAGCCCCAGATCTGCCCGGAGTATTTCGAGTCGTCGATGGTGCCGCCGAAGACCAGCTGGCGCATCTTCCAGTAGATCTCACCGGTGACGAGGGAGTCGGACCCAGCCTGGTGGGCAATTCCCACGCGCTTGACGCCCAGCTCGTCCGCAATGTCCTGAAGACCCGACTTCTGACCGAGATTCGTCAGGATCTGGGCCGCGGCCGGGGTCAAGGGGATGTCGTTGACGGCCTGGTTGCGCCCGGCGTGCTTCATCAGGTACTTAATATCGTACAGCGACGGGAAGAAGATGTTCAAGAGCTTGTGGAACTCCTCCTCGCTTTCCGGCAGCGGCTTGCAGAGCATGATCTTCATCAGGTAACCGAAATCGTAGCCGGAGTGGAACGAGACCCAGTGCACGTCGTCCAGCAGGACCAGTCCCGAGCTGATCAGGAGTGCGCCAAACTCGAACGGATCGATGCCGTTCTTCTCGTGCATCGTGAAGTCAATCCCCGCCTTGGCCAGCATCGCCGTCGACTCCTGGGCGTACATATCCTCCTCCAAGGAGAACCGAAAGTTGAACTGCCATGTGCAAGGGGCCGGGACGAGGCTGTTGCCGAGGGGCTGACCATTGGCGTCGGTGGCATTCGGGGGCGGGACCTCGCCCTCGGCAGAGAACAGGGTGATGCCGAGTTGGATCATTTTGAGGAGGTCGACGTTACACCGGAGGGTTTGGTAGTGGTAGTCTGCTTTGTTGGTGAACGCTCCAATCGGGCGTGCGACGATGCCGGGGAATTCGGTGTCCTAGGACGATTGGTTCCCGTTAGCTTATACAACAGTTGCAATGCGATGCGCGCGATAGGACAGAAAGTGGTAAGCGCGGTTTAGGCTAGAGCGATGACTGCGCGAGCGTGTGTTGCGTGCCGTCCCCATCCACGTTTCGAGTCGAGGAGTAGGCGCCTTACCATGCTGATGTACGGGTACTTCTCCACGAACTGCCGCAAGATGGCCATCTCCTGAGCCAGGTTGTGGCTCCATACATCTCGGATCCGCGTCTTCACGGCGCCGCCTGCCTTGGACTCGAGCGCGAGCCGCCCGTCATGGGCCTGATGTAATTGCTGTTGTTGCATCTGCGCCCCTCGGGCGAAGCCCATCTGAGCCGCATGGCTGGCGAGCCCAGTACCGCCTGCATCCGCGGCGCCTCCGCCAAAGCCTGCCACCGAGATGCCATTTGCAATGCCGGAGCCGGAGAGGGTGAATGGGTTGATGTTGGTATTGGGATTCCCGGCGGCGAAACCCGGGTGACCACCGAGGGAGGGAGGAGGGAGAGCGGTGTTGGCGGATTGGGCGTGGGCGGGGTGATGTTGTTGTTGCTGTTGCTGTTGCTGCTGCTGTTGTTGTTGGGCCGCCGCGACCGCTGCTTGCTGGTGTTGCTGCTGAAGATGGGCCTGCTGCAAGTGGGTATATGAAGAAGCACCCAGGCCAGCAGGCCCGTATCTGCCGACAGGAGGTGGCATTATCGATGTAAGAACACGGGGGACTGAGCAACCGTCATAAATCGGGTTCGAAGGTGAGGAACTCGGATGATAGCTGTAAGAATAAGAGGAACAAGGGCGAGACGAGCACGAGCACGAGCACGAGTGTGGCGGTGGTGGTGGTGGTTAGTTAGTGAGCGAGTAGGATTCGGGGACCTTTTTCGCAGTTTGGGGGAAGAGGACGGAGAGTTGAGGTGCAGTGGGAGGAGTGAGAGTGGAAAGGCGGACAACGGAAGCAGAAGAGAACTGCCAGTGCAGTCGGACCTCACACCTCATTGACTCGAATGATGGGACTCGGGAAGCTACAGAACCGTCCCAATCCGTACTAGCGCGCCAAGACCCAGGCCTTCTCTCACTTGACTCTCTCTCTCACACTGTGCAGTGCACGTACAGCTTCAACTTCCGTTCCCCGTCTCCCTCCACTCAACAACCTCTCCCTCCCTCAATTGTCACCCCACAATCCGCAGACCCCTTATAAACTCTGCACCTTTTGAACTCGCCAAACCCCAATCCATCCATCCCCCCGAATCACCCCCCGAGAATCCAACACAATGGCCCGTACCAGCCCCACCGGTTTCGACCTCAACGAATTCAAGGCCGCCGCCCACCCCCGGTCGACCTGGGCCAAGAAGGACCCCTGGGCTCGCTAGTACGAACCAACCTACTCCTCAAATCTGTCATTGAGCCCTTCGCAAATCGAGCATCTTTTTGTACTAACGCAGGCCCAAAAACAGCGAGGCATGGAGATACACCGGCCCCTTCAGCCGCTTCAACCGCTTCAGGAACATCTTCCCCGGCCTCGGCATCGCCACCGTCGCCTTCGCCGGCTACTGCGCCTACGAGGCCGTCTTCCTCAAGGATGACCACCACCACGGTGGCCACCACGACGAGAAGCACCACTAAAAGCCGTTCGGTCTCAGCATATCACACGATGAGCGGAGCGCAGCGGGTTCGGTTCGGAGTCCGCTGAGTTTGGGATAAGGGGGTCTAGTCGATTACAAAGCTCTGCGCAAAACCCAACACCGGAACTGTCGGAATTGAATGGAACTTGCTGCGCGGGTCGTGATGGTGACAGAAAAAGAGAAAGGAAATGGGCAAAAGGGGCCCGCGGGATGGGAAACGGATACCCGAATACATCGGATTGCTGCGGAATCTGTTCTTGTTGTGTAAGGAGGGAGGACAAGGGATGTGCTGCTTTTCGCGACTGTGATACTATGAATCGTGTGGCTGAAGGTTGAGGGTTGCGTGGGCTTTTCTAGAGGGATGGAAAGCGAGACTCGTTGTTTTTTTGTCTAATACCTGAAGTCTCTTGCTTTTGGGCGGTAGAGATGAGTGCAGTGGCTCGCAGCTCTTTCGGTGGTGAAGAAAAGGGCGCTTGCGCGGGATGAGGCGCGGAGATAGGTTATGTACATAGATATCATGTTTCAAATTTCGTTTTTTTTGTTTATCTGTGTTAGCCATATGTAGAATCTGGTACTAGTATCTTCACTGTCGGCTAATGAGTTGATTGTGAATAAATGTTGTTGGTTATGGTAAGTAGATACTAGGTAGCTGATACGGATACTGTCGTCATTAAAGCAAAGGAACCCTCGGCACAGCCAATTGTTTATCAAGCATTGGTCATCAGATATCATTCATAAAATTAAGAAACCCCAACCATCCCCGATGCAAACACATTGCACACGTCTATACATGACTTTTCCAGTCGAATCATATCAAGCGAAGTAAAAAAGGAACCAAATACATCAAAATCACTCCTCGAAAACCAAGGAGATGCCATCATCACCCGCCGTAACCACCCGCTTACCATCCTGGCTCTGCACAAACGCCATGATACCGCCAGACTGCTCGCCCTCGGAGTTTTCGATCAAGCCCAAATGACCCTTCCACTCCTTCAGCAGACCGTGAGCAGCAGCCGCAGTACCACCGCGGGCGTCCCACCGTCTCACGATGCCGTCCATGCCGACAGTCGTGAGCAGCCACGACTGGCTCTGCGGGACCGCAGCACCGGGGCGGGGAGGCGCGGAGCCAACGCCGGGGCGGTTCTGTAGGAACTCGACCTTGACGACGGCGCCCTCGTGGGCCTCCCGGATGTGCCGGCGGACGGCGAAGCGGTGCGCGGCGTCGAAGAGGGCGATCGAGCCGTCGACCGACCCGGCCGCGAGGAGAGTCAAAGGTGGGGAGGAGAAGGACAGGGTCTCAACGCCGTCGGACTGCGCCTGCAAGGAAGCAAGAAGTGTGCCGGCCGCCGAGGCGCCGGTCTGCGCCTGCGAGGCCGCCTTGCCCTTGGCCTTGCCGGCGGCAGCACCGCCCGCAGCCGCCAGACGGGGGAGACCGACGACCTTGATGTGGCCCTCGGCACCGCCGACAGCGGCGATGGCACCACCGGGGGAGATGGCGATGGAGTACAGGCCGCCGTCGACGGCGAAGCGCTGGTCCTCGGGGGTCAGGCCGACGACGGTGCTGGTGCCGGCGGCAGAGGCCACACCGGCGGCGGCGGCGACGCCGAAGACGTCGTAGACGTAGAAGCTGCCGTCCTCGGAGACGGTGCCCAGCAGGTTGCCGTCGGGGGTCCAGGCGCCCGCGGTGCAGGAGGCAGTGTGCTGGAAGAAGGTCTGGATGATGGAGATGGGCTGGGCGGCGTCGGTGTGGTCGATGCGGAAGACCCAGGCGCTACCGTCATTGGCGCCGATGGCAACCACGTTCTTCTTCTCCTCGTCGCCGTTCACGTTGGGGCACACGGCCACCCAGTTGATCTCCTCGACTTCCTGCGTCTCAGCGACCAGCTCCCACGCGACGCCCGTGAGTTGGGGTGTGGAGTCCCGGTAGGCGCGCAATTTGCCGTCCAGGCCGGCCGTCACGACGTACTCGCCCTTGGGCTCGGTGAAAGCTACCGCATTCACGGTATCCGTGTGGCCGACCAGCTGCGCCAGCGGCTGCAGAGACTCGCGCTCTTGTTTCGGTTGCGGGTTGGATTCGTAGCTCTGAGGGAGGAGGGGCCGCGCGGCATTTGGTGTTGAGTCGAAGATGTAGGCCTTGTCGTCACCGGAGCCGGTGATGACGATCTGGTTGTGGACGGGGTGCTGCGCGATGCAGAAGACTGAGTCGGTATGGCTGTCGAAGTGGGCGGCGGAGTCGTTCTCCAATGTGATTTCTTGTTCTTCGTAGGTCATAGGCTGGTCCTCGTCTTCGCCGTCGGACTCCATGGGCTGATCTTCATCGCGGTGGAAGATTTCCTCCGCCTCGTCGGCCTGGATGTAGGCGTCATCGGCCTCACGGTGTTCTTGGGAGGACATGGTATAGTATGCGCTGGGGGTATAAGGTGTGAGGGTGCGCAACACAAGGACAAAGCTTAGATTGAGAGAAGGAAAGTAAAGTCTCTTCTGCGAAAGTCAAGGAAGATATAGAGATAAAGAAATCAACAAAATTGCAATGGGAGGAAAGAGGCAAGAAGTGAGTGAGTAGGAGCAACTTATTTTTTTTTTCTTAGGTCCATGAATTCTCCCGGTCAACCACCCCGCTTAGAAATTCATTTGTTCCCCGCGATCCAGCCAAACACTGCAAACATCCATTGAAAGTTGCCCCGATGGTTTCTAAGCCGGCGAAGGAGCCAGATCTTTCCGAATATGTACGGAGTACTTTGTTGTACCATAGTATGAACTGGAATTGCGAATTGCTCAATTGTAAAATATGTATCCAAATGAAATATCTACACATGACCACGTATCTAGTGATGTCTACCTCGCAAACTTCATATAGCAAAAGCTTCCTATTCCAATTGCTGCCCCAAGCGCACACGAAGCTCAAAGTCTCGAGCCTGCCTGTCTGCGGGCCTCCTTCTCCTGGTCGCGCAACAAACGCCGCAAGATCTTGCCACTGGGGCTCTTGGGGATGACATCGAGGAAGCGAACCCCACCCTTGAGCCATTTGTGCCGGGCCTTGTGCTCCTCGACGTGCTTCTTGATCGACTGAATCACTTCCTCATCACTGCCCGTGGCGGACGGGGACTTCACTACGATCGCTTTGGGGACCTCGCCAGCGGAATCGTCGGGGATCGCGATCACCGCACAATCCGCCACGGCAGGGTGCGTGAGAAGATGGGCCTCCAGCTCAGCCGGCGCAACTTGCAAACCCTATGTAGGCGTGACACGTCAGCGACCATGGTGCATGATAGCATAGGCAAGGGTCGAAAGCATCGCGCAACTTACTTTGACTTTGATCAATTCCTTGATGCGGTCTACAATGAAGACGTGCTCGGTCTTCTTAGGGCTCAAGCGGATAACGGCCTCGTCGCCCGTATACATCCAGCCGTCTTTGAATGTTTCCTTGGTGGCTTTGTCGTTGTTTAAGTACCCCAATACAACGCTTGGGCTGCGCACGACGAGCTCTCCGGGAGTATCGTAGCTTGTAATCTCTTCGCCTTCTGGTGTTACTATCTTGGCCTCCACCCCGGGTAAGATCGTGCCGGAGGAGCCGAACCATACGTCCCAAGGATGCGTGGAGGTGACAACCGTCGATGTTTCCGTCAAACCTATTGTACGGTGTTAGGGCGAGTCGGATGCTGGCACCTGTATTCTCTTACCATAACCTTGTCTTATCGTCACCGTCGGATAAAGCTTCTGGAACTCTTCGGCGGTTTCCATCCCCAGCGGTGCAGCCCCGGTGAAGACGGATCTGACGGCAGTGAGATCGTATTTGGCGCAAGTCCTCGCATTGCGAATCATGTTGATCAAGATCGGAGGGACCTACACAGCGCTCTGGTCAGCTTACGGAGTCTCGTGGTCTCATCCGCGCATCACTCACCACAAATAACGAAGTGATCTTGAAATCCTGAATACAAGCCAAGAAGGAATCGAGCTCAAATCTGGGCAGCACCACCACATTATCCCCTCTCCACGGCCCAGCGTGACACATCACCACGAGGGAGTAGATATGGCTCTGCGGGAGCAAGCACATCACAACATCGGTCGGCTCACTTTGCGTTCCGGGATCCTTGCGCGAATCACGGTAATCTTGCTCGAATGCTTTGATCTGTAGTACGTTGGCGATGACGTTGCGATGTGAGATCATGACTCCTTTCTGCCAGCCACTCCAACCATTAGCCTTTTATTTTCTGCTTCTGGGACCAGGTCTGCCATCGTAGCCACCTACCGGCAACCCGGACGTGCCACTGGAATAGCACAGGAACGCCGTCCGACGAGCTCCCTCCCCAGGGCCCCAATTCAAAGCTTCAACCTTTGGCAACGACTTCCCTGCTTCAACCAAATGATCCACCGTCTTGAACTCGGCTGGAGCCTTGGCTCCCGGGGTGAGTTGTGCGGGCACCTCGAGCAAGAAGATGCGATCCCTGGGAAGACCGGCAGCATCGGCGGCTTCCAGCGCCGTCTTCAACAATGGCAAACATGTGAATAGCACAGTGGCCTTGGAGTCCTGCAGCTGATATTTGAGCTCAGCGGCCGAGTAGGCCGCATTAGCGGGACTGGCTACTCCGCCCAGTCGATGCACGGCCCATGAAAGCGTCAACGTATCGATCTAGGAAGCAGAAGAAGCAAACGGTGTCAGCTACCTAACCCATCTCTATCCACTGGATCGACGTACGGTATTCACGCTGAAAATCGCCAAGGTCTTATCCCACTCGCTGCCTGCATTGGGCTGCCAGTTGAATTGGCTCGAGAGCGAGCGCGCCAGATACTCGACGCGCTCTACCACATCCAGCCATGAATAAGTTTTGCTGGTGACTCCACAAGTGAAAGGGTTCTGCGAGTAGCCGAGAGGGTTGCGGCCATGGAGATCGGTGAGCATGAACTCAGCGAGGGAGATGCTGTCGGGAATGGGCGACAATTTGCCGGCCGATTTGGGGGGACCGAAGACCATGGTTCTGGTTTTGCTCGGAGGTGGTCGCTGGTGAGAAGGGAAGTGGTTAGGGGAAGTTGGAGAGAGAGAGAAAAGAAACTAAAAGATGAGCTAAATGGAAGATGGGGAGAAGGAGCAATAAGTATACGGCCGGGGGGGGGGGGGGGGTCTTGCGGGGAAAGCTTCTCCTTGTCGGCGGGAAAGCCGAGGCTTTTGTGTTACTGGGATGGATTGATTCAATTCGCAAGGAACCGGTTGGACAAACCCATGGACGGTGATTATCTGATGTGGCTGAGAGTTTCCATCAAGTCTGTTTCAGAGTATGGGAAAAACTTAGACTGTGTACATCAATGCTCCAATAGCACATATTTAGGAAGACTGTAGTATGCAAAGTGTAGTAAAATCAGTGGTGGTGAAATAACCGAGGCAGCCCCGTTGTTGTTGTTGTGGTGGTGGTGGTGATTGTGGAGAGGGTCTTTTTGCCTTCCCCGCATTTTGCCTTGGCCGGCCGAGGGGGAGAGAGCAAAGAGAGAGCAAAAAGAGAGATCGCCGCTCCCTATCTTTGGGTCCTGCACCTTCCCAAATCTTGGTCTAACTCCTCATCCTATCCTGCTTCATGACCAAGCATATGCATAATTATTCACAACGCCGATATGAATAAAATTGTCCAAGCTCTAGTCTCGACCTCAATGGCAGTGAGCAGGTCATGACATCAAGGAATGCGGATGCGAATGCGGAAATCGAGCTGCCACCGTTACACTGCCATCCTCCTCCACTTGCCGGTAGACTAATACCCCCGACCGTTGCGATGATCGTCAATCATTCACTGCCCCGAGTTGATCGTTGATCTTCCGCTTCGCTGCATGTTCGGCTTTTGTTATCCAGATACTATTCTCAGTCCTGCAAGTACTGAACAAAGCGATCACATCAGCAATAGCAGCAGACACACCTCGATGAATTACCCAAGGCCCGTGGCGAACCATCAACACACACATTGCTCCACTTAATAAGGCCGTCGTACATCTTCCTGACGCAGCAACCTTCATCACCCTTCATCTCCCAGACATTTGGGGCTTGTCTACGTCTCCCGCTCCCCTCTCGCTAACCTACCTCATCGAACAAGACAATCACTTCATGGACCGCTGCGAAAACTGCGGCGGCGAGGGCCATCCCACCAAGGAATGCCCTGTCCCGCGCTGCTACACCTGCCTGAAGCTGGGCCACCTCGCGCGCGCCTGTCCCGACCAGATCTGTCGCAACTGCCATCAACGGGGCCACGAGGCGCGAGATTGTACGGAGACAAAACAATAAGACACGCACCCAGTGAGCATGTTTCTCATCTGTTGGATGAAGATGACGTGCTGATCGAAATGGTAGATAGATTATGGCTTGGAGTTTTCAGGTTGCAATCAGGCTTGAATACATTCTGATGGGGTTGTCTCGCGAATTTGGGGATATTGATTAGACTGGAGTCGGGCGCATTTGGTTCGATATCGCAGAATCTCAGTTTGACCTCCAGAATCCGCGCGCTTTCCTTGTCGTGGGGTTTGCAAGTTTGACTGCAGGTTCAAATATTGATGATTCTGGAATGTATTGCTGTTGGATGAACGAAGAAATGATTTTCAATTAATGGAGCTGTGGCCTTTGCAAATGAGAGTAATGGACCTAATTGAGTGGCACAGTCAATGGAACAACCAAGTTCTCAGCCAATCTGGCAGGATTTTGTAAAGCTGTAGCTTGGCACATAGTGTTTTCTGGCTTGAGGCGTACCATGAACGCTATCCGCAAGCACTAACTGGAAGCCTAGGTTGAGTTCATCGAACCCTGGTAAGCACAGGAGCAGCAGCAACTTCAACAAAGAGCCTCGCCAGGCACAGGCACAGGCACTGGGAGGCTATGGTCAGAGCTTCACAATACACCAATAATGTTCTCCTTCTGTCTCACAAGCTCTAATCATTTCTCATAAAGAATCATGTCCAGATGCGCCGCCACAAAGAAGGGCCACAGCGAACCCTTTTGTCAGGAAAGGAATCAACAGCTTGCACCTCGCTTAACCAGCAATGCAATCACACCACCCAGAACCAAACAGGATAACCTTCAGGCTAAGCCTTTCTGACGCGGGGAGACCTCTTCTACAAAATGACCTGATTCCATGCGGGGGTAAAATGGTCCACCGCCTGACACTCAACCGGGCACTGCAGCTTCTCCTTCCCCCTCGCGTACCGGATAAAAGCCACGCCTGCAGCATCTTACCAGCTCATACTTGGCCTAATTTCCGCAAACCACAACAAGCGATCGACATGATTAAGTTGCCCGCTATCGAATGTGTGCTGCAGGCAGTTTGCAAGCTGCGGAGAGAGTCATCTATCACCGCCCCAACACACACACACACACACACACACACCGGATGCGGCATCCGCAGCCGGCTAAATAGGGAGGGATCCCGACCATCCGCGACACTTTTTCCAACATTATGATGCACAAATTCGACTAAAGGGCGAGAGAGGGAGTCTCACAGGGACTTGGACAGAATATAAATACACCCAGTCCTGGTAACTGAAGTTCTTGAACCTCCACCTCCAACATTCCCCGAATTCTTGCCTCCCCCCCTCACTATGCGACAAGTGCTGCTGCCGCCGCTAGTGCTGCTGCTCTTAGGGCTCGAGGCATCCGCCTCAGCCTGGGGGCCGCGGAAATTCACGACTCTAGTCACCTTCGGGGATAGCTACACCGACGATACACGGTTTGCCTACTTTTCCACACACAATGACTCCGCTCCTCCGGTAGGATGGGTTGAACCAGACGTAAGTTGACATACACATTACCCCTCACAACCCCAACCCCAACCCCCCAATTTCCCCCTTCATGACATCAATTAACCCACCAAAAACAGGCCAACATCTCCTCCTCAGGCGGCCCAACCTGGCCGCACTACGTCTCGACCTTCCACGGCGCCACCAAGAACCGGTACAACTACGCCGTCGCGGGCGCCACCTGCTCCAACGAGATCGTCGCGCGCGCCTACGACCCCACGGCAGGCTACCTGTTCCCCTCCGTGCTGGACTACGAGGTGCCCGCCTTCGCCGCGGACGCGGCCTACACCGACCCTCCCACCAACAAATGGTTCCTGGACATCCCCGCCGACGAAACCGTCTACGCCATCTGGATCGGCACCAACGATCTGGGGAACAATGCCTTCCTCACGGACTCGCAGCTGAACAATGCTACGCTGGTGGATTATCTGGACTGTGTGTATCGTGCGCTGGATGGGGTGTATAACGCTACCACCACCACCACCACCGGGAAATCAACGCAGAAGGAGAAGGGTGCCAGCAGCAGCAGCAGCAGCAGCAGAGCAGCGAAGTACTTCGTGATCATGAATGTGGTGCCGTTGCAGCTGGCGCCGCTGTACGCGACCCCCGAAAACGGCGGGGTCGGGCCGAATAATTACTGGAAGGATAAGCCGGCGAATCTGACGGAGATCAGTGGCCGCATGGAGGGCCAGGTCGTCCTGGTGAACGAGGCGTTTCGGTATCGGACGCCCGTCGAGGTGTTGGTGAAGAAGCGGTGGCCCGGGGTGCAGGTGGCCGTTTTCGATGTTTATTCTTTGGTGGGTTCTCTTCCTCTTTTTCTTTTCTGGGGTGGAGGGGAAATGGGGATGGGAGGAGGAAGGTTGTTTGGGAAAGTGCTACGGAGTGGGTGATGTTGAGTGCTGATGCAAAAAGTTGCAGATTTCGGAGATCTATTACAACCCTACACAGTATCTGAATGGAAGTGCGCCGGCGAATGTCACTGGGTTCGAGTATCATTGCAATATCAATGGGACGGACTGTACCAAGTCGGACAGCCCGGATTCGTTTCTGTGGTTTGATCAGCTGCATCCGTCGGCGCGGACGGATCAGATCATCGCGGAGGAGTTTATCAAGGTGGTGAGCGGGGAGAGTCGGTTTGCTGAGTATTGGTCGTGAAAGGGGGTGGGAGCGGGTGGAGTCTATGTTGTTTAGATGTGATCATGAGTAATGAAATTTGCTTTCGTTTGCTTGATGTGCAGTATATCATGCTGACCATCTAGCGTATGGACTTAATAGCCGCATGAAAGGTATATTTTACTCTGGGGTGGCTAGGGAACAAGGATCCTACGTTACGCAACTCGCAATCGATTAGCAGATTTTGAGCGGAATTATGACAGATATTAAAACGACAGGGTGGTGGGACGAAGGAAATGTACTCAAAGAGTGCTAAATTCGACTGTTAGTGATAAAGCTGACCAAGTCCAATAAATATCCTGCGTATTGCAATTCCATGCACAACAGATAATACACCCAATTGCTTTCTGATGCTTTACAGATTATGGGAGTATCCAAGAGAGGAACAGAGTTCGAGCGCTGAAGAAAGATCATGTCCAAAGCCTGTGCTATAACACCAATCACAATTGACTGCAAATGCGTGCTGGGCTGACCCATGCGTCAGGCATCAATCAATCCACTCGAGTCCTCTTCTGCGGTCGCCCACCCAGATTCAGAGCAGCAAATGTGCTTGCATCCAATCCGGGCGCCGTATGCTCCTTGATGATCTTACGAATTGCCTCCGCGATGCCCCGCGCGATAGGCGGCGGAAATGATGCAATGATCTGAGAACGAAGGGCCTTGTCGGCGCCATAGAAAATGTAATCATCAGGGAACCCCTGGATGCGAGCGCATTCGCGTACCGTAAGAATATCGTGGCGAGCTGTTGCCAGTTAGCGGTGGGTCAATCACGATGCAACAGCGACTTACTAGGGTGCAGCCAGCCGTGATCGCTGTAAAGTGTTGGCAAGATGATGTTGCTCTCAAAGTCGACGGTTTTAAAGTACGGCCTGTCAGTCGCATCAGGCAGCTGACCGGTGCCATGGTTGTAGACATTGACCTGACCCGCAGGATTCAAGAATACATGTTTCCCTGCTGTAGGGTGTGTGTCATCCGCCCGAGGGTTCTTAGACTTGAGATGGCAGATCTGCTCTTCGATGCTCTTTGTGTCAAGGTGGGTCGCAGGCCAAGGGACGTCGGAGCAGATGGGAGAGGCAAGCAGGACGATGTATGTCTGACTGTTCGAGATCCCATGATCTGGTAGACGGACGCTGAAAACATGCACTGAGTTTCGTTTCTTCAGGAGTTCGAGAACAGCCTTTGCAAAGGAAGGAAGGCACTGTGGATGCAGAATTCCTGCTGGCTGTATAGAGACCAGAAAGTCAAAGTCATCCTCGCTGGCATTCAGTTCATTGATTATGTTCAGAAGGGGCAGGTCAAAGTAGGGGTCTTCACCACCTCCGATGACCAATGGCCCAGTCTCCGAGAAGATCAGTACTTTTGGAACGCCAGCTTTCACGTCCTGAGGAGGCAGCAATTTTCCGCGTCTCATGTGCGAAAGAACAGACGGCGGACTTTCATCGTAAATAGTTGCTGTAGGATACCTGGTCTATCATCATGATTAGATCTAGCGATGAGGGTTGGTGGGGTCAGATCTGGGGATTGCAAATTTACCCTCCAACTCATGTCCTGTTCCGAGTCGAATCCCAAACCAGCGATGATGTCAAATTCAGCCTGGGAAAAACCTTCAGCGAGTCCTAGATCCCGTGGACTGAGGTCAATGACAATAGGCTTGGATGGCGCATAACGAGGGCGCTTCCATCGATCTTGACGGGAAAGTAACCCAGAATTTAGTGGCGTGATGCAAGCTGCGTTCGCATTGCTTCTATCGCGGATAGCAAAGCGACAGAAGTAACCGGCACTTTGAGGTTCTGCATGCTTGATTAGCAGGAGAAAGAGACGATCGGACTTGACGCCTTGGGAGACCTACCATCTGCGGCAGGGAGCAAATGTAGAACAGAGTCTTGAGATGGCAGTGCCTGGGCCTGCGTAATGTCATCAAGAAATATGATTTCTCCATCTGATTTCTGGCCCATTGTCTCAAAATCGTGGAACTGCAGAACAAGTTCATTTTCTCGGACTGGGAGTGTGAACCTCGAAGAAAAAGGGGGGCTCGTGGACTGAAATAAATAAAGAGACCCTACTATTGCAATGCTCTCAGAGTCGCCTGAAGGGCTTTCGGTCCGGAGAATGTCATGCACCAGGAAAATACACTGTACGTTTGCTGCATGCCCACCTGACGGTATCAGTGTGAGTTGCGAGTATTCGTCCCGTACAAAAGCGTGATTGAGACGCTGGCAGGAATACTCCCAATGAGGGACAGCACTTGCACGAGGCAACTAGGAGACGGAAAGTCAGTAAAACATGAAGAGCAGTAATAGAGCATGACAACTGAGCTTACCTGAGATCTTCGAGGGAAAACCAGCTTCTCAAACTGCACCACAAGGTTATCGGCAACCCAATCATTCCACTCGATCCTTTTACCATGTTCCAATTCACGCTCCTTTGCCAATTCTTTCATTCTTTGGGTGCAGACGGGCAGACAAGACATTGTTTCTCCATCACCGGTAGGTGTACTGTAACCTGTTGAACCAATAGAAGGAACCACTTGGGAGCAGAGACGCCATGGCCCATACTGTCTTATGGATGTCGTTCCAGGATCCTCGTCCTCATCGGAATACATAATATCGTCTGGCTTTGCATGGAATGGGATGTTGACAATTGCCAAACCATGGCCCGATGAGCGCGGCTCTGGAGCGACGGCATCTGGTGCCAATCCATAGATAGCCATATCACGAACTACTGCGACAAGAGGAAAATATAACTCCTCACTGTCCAGGCCGCTGAATTGAGCCTCGTGAGCATTGAACGAAGTAGTTGTCATCTGACAGCCGCAAGTGGCAACCATGACTCCGTCCTTAGGTAGCTCATCTTTCACCACAGGATTGTCATTAGCAATTGGTTAGAGTAAAATTAGGGTCATAATATGGATGGATAATAAGACTGACTTTCACAATGCGAAACCACTTCCTTTAATTGGGAACATGTGCTTTCCCGATGAAGCGTCACAATGCAACGCATTTCCGGGCCGACAAAATCGCGCAACAACTCGCTATCTTTGATTCTCCAAGAAACTTTGAGCTGAAGTGGCTGCTTTGACAGGTCCACGGATATCATGCGGGGCATCAGTTGAACGCTATCCCTTGCCGCAAGTCGCAATGAGCGGACAAGAATAGGGTCAGGCGAGTCTATAATCTGTTCAAGCGCCTGTTCATAAAGCTCCTCGACGATATGATCGCAGAAGAATGACGGCGAATCCTCATGATTCGCGCGGCCCATCGTGTAAGCGAGGCAAGGTGCCAACTCGTGAGCTGTGTCGGGTCTCAGGTATTTCTCATGTATTTTGAGACAGCGAGTGTCTGGGTTGAAGAGAATGGCAACATCGGTGTCTCCTCCAGATACGTATTCTACGGACAGATTGTGAGTTTGCGAACACAATGCCAAGCAGCCTGCTAGTCCGCGCTGTACATGTTTTGAAAATTGGGTTGGTTGCAGCGATGAGCGTTGCGAGTTTTCGAAAAGAAGTGCTCTCTGTTCGTTAGGGGTTCGCACAAGACTGTATCGTGACAAGAGATTCCAAAGCTTTTTCGATAGGCCAGCCGGTTCTCTTCGAAGACTTGTAGTGATTATCTTCGAGTCCTGCTCATGGGAACTGAATGTCAACTCTGTTTGTGGATAACATAGAGAGATTTCATACTGTCTCATTCAATCCGAGGCCATAGTAGAACTTTCCGCGGCCATTCTCAACAAGCCGTGCCCAAATAGCTAGTGCCGTGGCTTTCGATGCCTTTTTATCTGCCATGGAAACGTCCGCACAATCATAGTGCTTGTTCAGCAAGTCTGTATATTTCTCAACAATGCTTGGCCCACCATTCTCAATGGCAGACGCCCAAATTTTTGTCACTAACAAGGCCTCTTCCTCTGGACTCGCTAGGCTCTGGCGTTCACGGTTGATTTCCTCAGCCATGAGATTGTAACCGTACCAGAACTCCCTTGCTTTTGACCCAGGACGAGAAAGTAGAATACCTTTCAGGTACATACGGTTGTGGTACTTCTCGCGGTCTAGGATAAGGTCTCCATGTTCAGTTTGGATGATACTCTCGGAAGGTGGCATGTCCAGCTCCAAGGCCACACGTCTCCACTGCTGAAATTTGTCCAGAGTCACTTTCACCCCAGTTGCGCCGCGTCCTTTCGTAATGAAAACGGATACGTCTCTTGCAGGGTCACTTGCCAGGCCCCCAGGCTTGCCATTTGTGTAAAGACGACGACAGTTCGCCTTCTTCCTGGTCAAGGTGGCCGGTGGAATAGGCGAGAGCTTGCAGTACATCCGAGACTTGCCTTTGCCTCTGAACCCAAAGTTGAACTTGTACTTGCTCGCAGCCAAATGGACACGGAATCCTTCGCGACGAAGGACCAGAGCAGCAATCTTGAGACCCTCTCCATGCTGGCCAGCCAACGAGCCATTGTCGCCGTGCTTAGTCGTCCCTCCAATGTCTAGGTCTTGGGAGGTCAATCGCGCATCAAAATTGGCCAGTTCAATGCCACCATATCTCTCCCTCCAGATAATATAGCCCAATAGCTCTCTGGTTCCATCTTGCATGTTATGTGGATGATATAGACAAATTCTGATCACCGTTCGCTTCTGCTGAATCTCTGGTCGGAAGTCGCGTTGATTCAAATGGAATGAAGCGAGGATGCCGTCCTTCCTATCAATTGATGTTAGTGGTCTGTCGTAGGTAGTTGCTGGTTTGAGTGCGGAATTATCCCCACCAGTTCTGATACAACTCGCGAAAGGCATCTTGGTTGCTCCAATCACGAACATAATTTTTACTCAAGGAGAACGTATATGACATGGGCCGAAGTGAGCCATCATCATCTTCTTGCTCGGAGTCTTGGGGACTTTGACACTGAGATACGTCGTCTTCTGACTCCATCCTTGGCTGTTGATCTTTCCAAGCACTGCTCAACAGAAGTAATGATAAACTTGAAAGAATGTGTCAGGACAGACTGAGGAAGACGATAGATTCTGGGAAGGATGGGTTGAGGAAAGGTGAGGCGGTGTAACGAGCCGGAAAACATGAGAGGGATGGGAGAGATTAAATCAGAAGAAGAAGAATATGTGAAGTGATCAGCCAGTGAATTGGCTACAAACGAGGCAACTTCACCCTTCACCAGAACTCTTCAGGCCGACAGATAATCTTTGCATTATTGTAAGCGTCATAAATCGATACTAGTCGTCATTTTATTATACAATTCTGTCTAATATCATGTGACCTCGCTGAACGGAGGCGTTACACGCACAAGGCCGATATCAACTATATAAAAGACTTAATCTGAAGTAGCAGAAAATGAAGAATCCTATAATATATAATTTGATTTGAGCAGAATGATGATAAAATTTAGAATAATAAAATACTAGAACAAAAGAAATATTTTTAAAAAGAGTACTAAATTTGATTATTAGTACTAAAGCTGATCAAATCTGAGGATACTCTGTAGATTGCAATTTTATATACAGTACACATTGTATCTAATTATTCTCCGACATCTTTCAGATCACCCGAATATCCTGAGGACATTGTGACGAGCTGTTCCCGGTTCGCAGTAAGTCTCTCTATGAATAGAATTCTCAGTCATCTATATCGTGATCTTCTGTAGACTCACAACAATCTATGCTAATCTGTTGAAGGGCTTTATCTCTTGAGTGTTAGAAAAAGATTTTTGCACGTCTAGCAATATGCAAAAGAATAAAGAGAACCAAATAATGATTGAAACTCAGAAAAGAACAGTTCAATAAGGGAGAAGACTCCCGAACTCCTAGCACGATGCAAGATGAGCAATGTAGCCTGGATACTATCAAAGTAAACCTAACCAGAACGCGGCTCAGCCAACATGGTCGCAGGGCCTTCGTCACTCACCACTCCAGGAAAAGTGATAATTTGTCGTGATCATATATGTCTCCTGAAGCGAATCGAGCCAAGTCTCTAACAATTGACTTGCAACGTCACATTCTACCACACAAACCTCTTCCTGAATTCAGCTCCGTCAACCACACTTGCAGATCTCTTCTCTTGTCTCGACCTGCCAGATGCCATGTGGTCAGATTGATACATCCTCCCAGACAACACGCAAGTATGCGCAAAGAAAAAAAAAGACTCACCATATCTGCACTTCCAACATCTGCAATCCCTTGGAGGCGTCCCACTCAACGAATCCGCCTCCGCACCGAGTCCTGAATACCCACCACACATGCTAGCATAAGCCAGGCCGGAATCATCAGGCTACTCGCAAGCCGCCGGGCCCGGTTGTTACCATCAAGTGCCATCCTAATTGCAGCAACGGCAGTATGAAACAGAAAACGAAGCATACGGCACCAGAACATTGCCTCTATTTTCCACAACGGAGTTGATGACAGCAGCCTTCTTAGTACTGCGCTCTCCTCTTTTTCAATCTCCTCCTGCTGCCGCTGCTGCTGCTTCTTTGCCTCATCTATTGGGTGGGTGACAACGGAGCATGGGCCATCGAAGCCGAACCAAAATTTATGGAGATAGGCGAGATCAGCCAGCGCTCGCTGGCGTACACTGAGGGAACGACCCAGTCGCCAGCGATACCACACGTATAAATGATAGATGCTGGTGGCCCAAAATACGATATCCAGGATTAAGGTGTGAAAATTAATCTGCCAGCCAATCTCCATCCAGGGCTTATAGGAGGAGGAGTCGGCGTGGCTGGGGTGGTTATAGATTGCTGCTGGTGGGTAGGCTTTGAACCAGATGCACGCCCCTAACCAGGCGGCGGCATGCAAGGACTCGATGAGGACGAAGATTTTCCAGGGGCCCAGCTCTCTTAGCAGGTCTCGGCTCTTGACTGTACACATACTTAAAGAGGTCATATGAGGATGTAATGCGATGGTCTGATTGTGCGTGGTAGAAAAGCAGAGCAGGGATGATGACTCAGGTTGCATTCAGACTTTATATGGTGCGGACTTAGAATGGACCTTATAATGACCAAACCTTGATTGGCACACATACGTAAGGACACGGGGGGAGATTCCGTTCGTATTCGCTTGATGGCACTCTGCAAGAACAACTTGAACAACTTCTTTCACTAAGTATCCTAATACTGATTGCCATTCCCATCATAAGGTTTTAGTCGCAAGTGGCGTACACCCCCTTCCACCCATTCTAATGGTGCGACAAACGCCATTTGACTCCAAGAAAACAAAGTGTTTTTCCCTCCAAAAACAAACACCTCAAACCTCCCTACAAATAAACCATCGATCCAAATGCGACTTCCACCAACAACATCCGTCTGGATCGTGATCAGACTTCCCAACGGCACAGTCACCGGCTCATGCGTGGAGGTCGTCTCGTTGACCCATATACGACCTGGGTACGCAGGATCATATCCATCGGCCTCGGACACAGACCGGAGAGGATATTCCCACCCGTCCGACACGAAGGTTAAGGAACCATCGGATCCCAGCTTGAGCGTCGCATCGTCGGAGGACAGAGTAAACGGACCCGTTACGTTCAGCTCTAACGAATAGTTCATCCCTTTACTCCCATATCCCAAGTGATGTTTTGTCGTGGCATTCTCGTTCATTGCATCCCAGCTGACTTGTACGTCTCCATCTAGATCCATCGCTCCAGAAAGCCGCCGATCCAGATTCTGCGCCACCGCATTCGCAGTCAACACGCGCATAGACTCTGACAAGCTCGATAGATTCAGCTCCTGCCCACGGTTACCCGCCCACACACGAGACGCGAACGTTGGAATACCGTCACGAAGAGCATAATATGCTTCCAGCTGCGTCGTCGCGTCAGGACCATTGTCATTCCAGGCTGCGATGATGGCTCCCTGAACACGCCTCGGATCCGGTTGCTTCGTGAGATTGTATGGGTTGAACAGCGGTGGAGTCCATTGCAGGCCGTTGCTCCCCCCGAAATTCAGTAATCTAGTATTATTGAACGATGGCGGATATGGAGCAGGGATGATGGGCATGTGATCATTCTTCAGGGACATGTATGCCCACCAATCTTCAGAATTGATCAACTCAAAACCATCTCTTGCGAGGCTAACGGGATCTGACTGTCCATACTGCCAGTGCTGGATAATGACATTCTTGGAGATGTTGTGGGTGTTCGACGGCTCGTACGTTCCCCAGATGCGAACCCTCTTGCCGGCAGTCTCATTCATGAAGGCAGCCATCTCATTGACGAAGTCAATGTAATCGTCCGCCAATGCCGAGTCGTACTCATCCGCGCCTATATGGACTTCTTTTGTTTGAAACCACGGCAGAAACTCTGTCCATATCGACTTGATCAGCGGCAGTGTATCCGGGTGCGTCAAATTGAGCAGATCCTTCGGCTCCAACGCCAGCTCCGGCTTCCACTTGGTGATCGACAGAGAATGGCCGGGCGCTTCGATCTCAGGAATAACGGTCACTCCACGCTGCGCGCAATGATACTGGAAGTCCTCGAACTCAGCCCGTGACAGTGTCTCATTCTGCCTCTGCACCAAGCCCTGCAATTCCGCGCTTTCGGGCCGCAGGGAGAATTGCGAATAAACTTCATACCACGTCTCGTTATGTCCGCGATTCAATGGGTAGTTGTCACTGCTGTGATAGTGGAATTCAGACAGCTTGAAGAACGAGGCGTACGTGCACAAGTCCCTGAGGAATCCGGGAGAGTACCATTTCCGACCCGCATCGAGAAGAAACCCCCGCGTGACAGATGAAGGCGCGTCAAGGGTCCGTCCGGCTGGAACGATCCCCACGTCGTGGATCAGCAACTGCTGGAGAAATGTTCGCGTTCCCCACCACATCCCTCGAGCACCAGAGCCGCAAATGTATGCCCGACCAGCACTGAACACGAGCTCATAACCTTCCTCGGTCGGCTCCTTGTTCTCATAAGTCAAGTTGACCTGCTGAGCCACGTTGTCCAGAAATATTCCTGTTTCGCTATCGGAAAACGCGTCTACCGTATGGAGCACCCAAGACGTGTTTGTCACTGCCTGCAGGTCCTGACGGAAGGTCTCTGCAAACTCCCCAGCAGAGGGAGGAATCAGTGTCAAGCCATTGTCATCCCGACGAATCGAAAAACTGCTGGTGATGAAGATTTTCCTTTCTATCGCTTTGATGTCGAACCCGTTTTCTGATAGTCCAGTTGCATTCCACGCTACAGGGGGAAGAACCTGAAGAGCACACGCAACCGCGGCCAGATAGAGAAAAGCCACAAACTTCATGACGTGAACTCGTAGTCGTCAACCATACCGCCGCTGTGGAAGTGAGTTCACGAGAAACAGGCATAGCAAGCTGGGTCGGCAGTAAACAACCTTCTGAATAAATCTCTGGAGTGGGGGTTGCACCACGCCCGAGGCGTTACATTTTGATGCGGGGAATAAACAATGCATCCTACGGGGCTGGCCTATTGCATCACCAGAACGATCCCCCAAATGCCGATCGTTCATACGCCAAGAGATAAGGAATGTGGTCGCAGTGTATACAACCGTGATGACAGCTGGCCAGACCAGTTCTCTGTGCAGCAGTGAGCTCTTCTGCTGTCGTTATCAGTTTGTCTTCGCGCTGCCCTATATCTTCTAGCCGTTAAAATGGCCGTTTTATGGCGGGCTGGGTTTTGTTTTCGCATCGGCTCCCACCACCCGACCCCTTGCTTGGCCCGAACTACCAGCCTCTCATCGAACCATCCTAGTACGTTCAGCCTTTTACATATCTAGGAAAGCAACCTCACTCATAAGTACTTTGGGGAAGGAACGAAAAAGGCAAAAAGCTGGCCGGAACATGACGATCATATAACGACTTCTCGTTCTACCGAGGTCAGCGGTTCAACGCAAGCATCAGCACTATAACACTAGCAAAACAAGGGTGTGACAGACATAGTGCAACTGTATTCCATCCCCCTGTCCCTAGATTACCTTTACCATTCAAATATCAACTGACAACCAAGTAATTTATGTATGGTATAAAAGATCATACTAGTCAGTCACGTGCCATGGGCAATGAGCTTGGAATTGCCAGAGATTGGAAGAAGCTTAATAAAGAGACCAATACTGAATTCAAAGTGATATGGTATCCCAACAATGACAGTAGGAGGTTGCAGTTGCTGTAGAGCATCCCGTGTTGGGTCTCGCTGCCCGAAGCGGCGCTGAAGAGGGCGCTGGCCTGAAAGTGGCCTGTAGCGCTTGCGGGCGCGCTGGCGGGGGCTTGACAGAAAAGGCCACTTAGCTCGAATTATTTCTCGATAGTTGCCGGTGTAGTATACGCGGTAGAGTTGGTAGGAGCCTTGATACCAGAGCTTGTCAAATCGATACTCATTCCGGGGATGGCGGTTGTGATTTTAGGAGCGTGAGCAATCGACGCCAGGCATCGGGCCATCTGCATTTGGCGCATGCTCCGCCGAAATGCCCTGTGTGGAGACTCCGAGCTGTGTTTCGGCATCTCTCCACATTTTCACGGCAGGACAGCACTCGGCAATGTTCTCGCAATTTAGCATATGTTGATTATCTCCAGCTGCCGATTATATCGAAGGTGTTTCTGACCTCGGACGTGCAGCTCAATACCGTGGGTGCTGGGTTATATGTAGACCGTGGAGTAGCATCGACATGAGCAGGATGTGTACGACCCTCTCTCGTGGGTTGTGAGCTGGCAAGATACGCGAAACCCTGGTTGGATTTTTCTCTTTATCATTCGCTTTCATGGGGGTGATGTTGGGCACTTCTTTTTCGGTTGGAAGCGAAAGACCGCATGTCAATTGCGAAGGTCATCACCCCACTAGATCACCCTTCTCTGAATTCGGTCGAATCCCACATTCGCGTAACGGACCCTGATCAGGTAGCCCACATTGAGGTCGGAGAATGTTCATTGTGACCTAATGTGGACTTAGCAAAGCGAGCGCTGATTCTCTGCGTGATCCAAAATGTTGCTCTCTTTCCGTGTGAGAAACACTTTATGGGCGTTCGATTAAGTGGTACCCTACTGTCTAGGGATTGCGAACACACTCGATTCATGGACGGAATGAGCATTTGTGCTTTCACCGGCTGCATGCGCAGTTCTCACATCCGCGCTGAATGCTAAGGTTTTCGGCCTGCTCGTCGGGTCCTCGCACCAGCCCAGAATCTGCGAGAATTCGGACAGCATTTCCGAGCATGCCCACGGACGTCTAGTTCTTGCAGCATGAGATTGTGGAAGTCGTCGCGGATCTGGTCAGCCTCAACAATGGTCTTGTATCGCCATTTGGACGTTTCCCGTTTCCCGTTGCTTTGAGCTGTTCTTGCTTGGAGAAGATTTAGCTGTCGTTTGAGGCTCCGTTCTTTCCTGGTAGCACTCATTTGACCACCCTGCCGCACCACTAATGTTGACCGCGGCAGTTGGCCGCTGCAGAAGCCGGTCGAGGCGAGATTTATGATGGATCATGGATGCTTGTTCATTCTTCCTATCTACGCTATGTACGATACATCAAAGATCGCCCGAGACAGCGGGGGCAAGCGGTCAGTGATGGCAGAATACCCACTCAGGGTTGCGGCCAACACTCCCCCCCGGCTCGTAAGCAAGGCACGCACAAACGCGAGACGAGCGGAAAAGAAGAAGAAAAAGCTCGAGGCGGCGAAGTCGAGACACCCGAGACTTCGACGCACTCGTGACTTGGAAACGAATGAAAACAACATAGTCGAGACTGTGAAAGGAAACGTAAAGAGCAATCTGCATAGACGTGTACGGAAGGAGACGTGGACGATTATTAGTAAACTCGGTATAGTCGAGGCGTGTGCGCAAGGAAATATCAGACGTATGCGTAAGGAAATGGATATGGACAGAAGTTGTCAACGTTCAATTTTTGCTAGGCGTAGCAACAGGTCTTTGGACAGCGGCCACTGGTCGATGGGGGTACCGATAAAGGAATGGTCCTTTTGAGCAAAGAACCATCTCTCCGTGGCGCCAAGAACTTTAGACATCAGTATTGTTGGTAGCGTATGCAGCAGTTCCTGAGCATCTTCAACATACTCTCCCAGTTCTTTGAAACCTTGCCGTAATTCCGCAAGCTTGTTGATGCTATTCTGAATATAACTGGTTGGCTCTTCTGTCGGGCATCTCTTCTTCCGCGCTTCCGCCAACAATTTCCAATTATTCTAAGTTCCCATTAACAGAATGCTGGCATAATGTCTTGCTCTGTCCCAAAGGCCGATTATTATCGAAGTTGCAATTGCCTCGTTTCGGTCCTCGGCTGTCAACAACGTGATCAACCATTGAAATTGCACTGGTTTATGAAAAGGGTCACATTCTCGCTGGGCACGCCGGAAAAAGTCAGCTGATTGGACGACATGTTGAAGGGATTCAGTAGTACTAATGGCGCCACCGTTTGTCGAAGCCTGTTGTGCGGTTCCAGAGGGACGGGACCCATAGAGTCGCTCACGAGGGCAGATTCTGACATCCGAGCAATTTCCTTTTCGGTGTCTTAGGGAATGGACAATGGGCGACTTCCTCTGAAATGCTCTGCGAATGCTCATGTGCTAGCATTGATCCTCCGTGCCCGATGCCCAATCAGATGGGGTGAGACTACTCATGAAAGACCGACATTTCGGTGTATCCTCAATGGCATTGATTGCCCTTTCAGTTGACTTCCTTTCTGTGGCCGTGGTTTCCATCGTCATGGCTGTCGAGGGTGCCAGTGTACATGAAGAATGAACACGACTGCGTTCCAGGTCCCGCCGATTCTAGCAGACGCCAATAGTAAGGCCGATTTGTGGCCAGCTTATTGGCAGTGGAATACCTGCAAAATCTGGAGAAGGACATTGTACGGGTCTCCCTTGGATCGGGGCTTTTGTTCTGGTTCACAATGCCCAGATTCTCGCAAGCCTCTGTATGATCATCATCATACTGATTGTCTGTCCCATCGAGTCAGCGGTGTTGAAAACTTGCTGCAGAAAATATCTCCTTTTCCTTGTCTTCGCCGGGATTCAATGTTCTGGGTTGAGTTATATTGACTCCGTAGCTTCTTCCAATATCGCTTCTCTTTTAGGATCTCCACGAGAATCGATTCTTGCTTCAGTGAATATAGTATGCGAAAGAACCAAGATGATGAACACGGTGAAAATGGTGCAAGTACAAGATACCAGATCTATTGTGCGAAGGTCTACAACATGATGATAAGCATGACGATAACATGGATACTGGTCACTGCGAGGGAAAGCTTTTAGCGCATCTGGCGGCCAGAAGTGAATCGAAAGCTTCAGCAGCGGACTTGAGAATCCCCAAAGGTCTTAGGGTCCCGAAGTGGCTGATGTTTCAGGACTCGCGTTAGAGGCTGTTTACAAAGAACATACCATCCTGAATACTTGCATATCATGCAATTCGAAGACAAACGTTCGGCCGAACGGAACCCGGTTTACTCAGATCCTTCCTTCGGTGTCAAAGTCACCGGAATAGTTGGTGATTCTCTCATGTGCCGTTAAGAACTTAACAGCTAGGTAGAACCAGCAGTCGGACATACGAACTCCGTATGATGGCCAAGTTTGCAGATGGCGGTTGTTTGATGATGGCTTCTCAACTGGGCCTTTTGTGCCCCATGGACTGTTCCGGGCATTCTCCGCGTTACTATCCCACCACGCTGATGAATGTGAATCTGCAGTATTTTTGTTTCTCGCTCACTGACGTTTGCAATATCGAGTGCAGTAAATGAGAAGCTCTGCGGAAGCAAAACAGTGCGGGAAGCGCTGTTCATGCTGACATCGAACAAGATCATCACCGTTTCCTTAAGTGAGAACCTCCACACCACTAGTCTTAGATCCGCGCTTCCGTAGCACTTCCGAACTTTGCCAGCGCTCAGTTGATAGTCTCATCAAGAATGATGCATCTCTTGACCAAGACGGTAGAGCCAAGCTGATCGCAGCTGAGGGCTCATAACCCGTTGATGAAATGGTGGATTTGTGAGTGGACTCAAGCTTTAGCCGAAGAGACTCACTTGCAGTGACCACAAACCCTCTTGGCCGAAGTCGGGTCACCGCACTGCGGTAGCCAGACCATGCTTGTACTCGCAAATTTCCGCTTCTCAGTTCTAACGGTCTTGACTGCTTTCTGTTTGCGATCTCTTGTTTTGTCCTGTTAGGCGTCGAAGCTGGCTTATTTCACGCTGTGATTCTGAGTGTAGACCGATGTGGGAGAAACTGAAAGTTCAAGCCACGTGTAACTCAGTGGGCTACAAACAGACCAGTGCATGCCTGGCTGATGTTTCTGAGCGCAAGGCTTAGCATCTCTGTGACGAGCATAACAGCAGCCGCCTTGTTCCACTCATGCAAGTACGCTACTCGGTAGGATTAACTCCGGTAAAGAAACCGGTCAGCTCTAGTCACAATGTTTAATCTCACAGCACAAAGCGCAGCACGCATGGACGACCATGGCGTCCAAATCCAGTCTCTAATCGCGATCGTACTGTGTCAAGGAAACGTCCGCAACCTCGTGATTGCTCATGTCACTGCATCTCTTGTCAGCTCCGCTCCACATCTTGATCATGGCAGTCAGCGTACTTACTATCTATCACCTTCCAGCCCGGTCTGAACTTCGATGGGTATAAGCTTGTTAATCGGTTTGCGCTTTGAGCAGCAATCTGCCTCCCGTTATATGGCGCGTCGGGTCTTGTTGCAAAGGATACACAATTAGCCCATCAGCCTGACTGTCGCGACGGTTTAAAGACTCGGCTGCATTACAGCACTGCAGTTGTACTGCTGCTTGGTCGCATACTGCACGACGGCACATTGCGAGAAGTCGACGCCCGTCGTTCTATCGCGCTGCGGCATCACTCAGCTATTCCCAATGTGCCACTGGGATTTGCACTGGCCCGTGGGATGAGCTCAGCGCGTTGAACCCTTTCCAAACCAGGAGATCATCGCCTTGAAGAGGTCCTTGATCATCCAATCTAGCACGGAGGCCAGCAGCTGCCTCAGCGTCTGATCGTCATGGTTCAGCCGCCAGCTACCACAAACCAGTCAAAGACCTTGCAGATCTAGCTGCACAGACGAGTCTCAACCATCGGATCGATCCGTGCGTCATATTGCAGAGCAGTCGTTTGATCGGTCGCAATGCACCATGGTAAGAGAATTTGCCCTCATGGCCCGACGGAAGAATTAGTCGACGGCCCGGATTCTCCGCGATAACGTCCAGACCGTCCACATCGCAGTCGTAGGTAAGCTCATTACTAGAGGGGTGTAGCTCTGCCACTGGCCCATGTCTGAGTTTGTTGAGAATAGCTTGGTCTGTGGTCCGTCTCTGCCCAGCGATGATCCAGTCGCTATTCTTCTCGGTACCACAGCATAGCACATACGTACAGTGTTTAAGAGACAATTTGAATGTTAGATTCCACGGCCTGTACAGAATTGTACATGACTTGGAGGTGCGAGCCTTTCCAATGGTCCCTTCTGTGTCAAAGTCGCCAGACCAACACCGGTATTGTGTTCTTGGGAGCGAACCTCCAATAAACACACAGCTCCAAATCTTGCTAAGTCGAGTTTTGAACTGCGACCAGGCCTTTTTCTTTTGACAGTGAGATTCCAAGACTGTCCTGTCACTGTAGTCTGGCGTACTTTGTTATGAGGAGAACTTCTATGGTCGCTGCATTTGTCGACATTGGCGGGTGTCCTGTCGTTCGCGATGCATGCGCCATGGTGTTCATAAACCCAGAGAGCAAGTGGGCCCGTAATTTGTTCTTGCTCCGTTCAAACCATTCCGTGGAAAGGAGACAATCCCGCTTGTTGTGTGCGTTTATCCCAGAAATGTCTTACGACTCCAGTCTGGCGTGCCTTGTTCTGAGAAGAACTTCTATGGCCGCTGTTTTTGTCGATATTCTCAGGTGTCTCGTCGTTCGCGATGCATGCGCAATAGTGTCCATAAGGCCAGAGTATAGATCGACCCTTAACCCGTCCTGGTTCCGTTCAAGCGATGCTAATTGAGAGGAAGTGGTCTCGCTTGTTGTATGCGTTTCTGAGCTCTGTCCGCCCGGAAGACGAGATTGTCAGACTCCGCTGTGAAGACTTGATTTTTTAGAAGGCTTAGCACGTATCTTGGCCATTCAAAACACGTTTTGAATCTGATACTCGTCGCATAGGATTCCCTCACGAAGCTGGACTCGGGTCCCAAACTGGGCTCACGCACTGAACCTCACGAAAGGACCAGGCTGCAAGAACGGTTGCAGCTCTCGCGACCCGACAGGGACTCGCACGACTTTCAGGGAGGATTCTGATAGGATCGCCGCGCACACTCCGACAGATCAGAGACGCGTTGTGTAGCTGGTCGGTAAACGAACTGAGTCTTGGGCAGTCTTCGACTGGACAGCTTAAAAATGCGACTGTCCCAGTGAATCCTGTGGCATTTTGGAGGAGGAGACCAGCGGAAGAGATATACTGAAAGAAGAACGCGATGGCTCTTGGATGACTGGGTCATCGAATTGTTGTTGCCCCCGCGAGGGATGGGGGAGGGTTCAGCCGAGGACGGCACCGCCCGTGAGGCTTGACGGAGTGGGAGTTAAATCCACCATCGCAGATGAGATTTGAGGATGCTATGGCAGGTCTTCAAAACAGTGTATCAGGAAAGATCACCTCTTCATGTGTTGGATTGAATCCAGGAAATCAAGAATGTTGTGTGGAGTGGGTAAGGAATTCTCTGAAGGGTGGTGGTGGTAGAAGAGAAGAAGAGAAGAAGACGGAAGGATGGTGTGAGAGGCGGTATTTATGTTTGAGGTCAGGAAGTGTCCAGCTCTTCATTCATCAACACCCTTTCGTGTTGCTATTCACACTGGGATGGAGATTCACTTTGGGCAGCTGGCTTTCTTGTATAATCACAGAAATTGGTTGATAATTCTATACCCAGGTCATTGAATAGGCTTTATGATATGTTTGCTCTGTCAATTGAGCCTGCTTGTGAAGGGAAACACGACAGGAAGTAATGTATCAAAGTAATAAGGTGAAAGTTTGGTGGTTGTGAGCCAGGTTTGCGAAGCGCAGCTGCCGCCATCT